CAGGGGAGATGAAATGCGCCCTGTGTGTACGGGGAGTTGGGAAGTACAGTGCTCTTCTTGAATAACCTCAACATTTGGACAACTCGCAGGCTTGGATGCCAAAATACTGTGCAAATAGATGGAGGAGATGCCGGGGAAATCTTTGCTTCAGGACTGAAGAAACTGAGGCTGGTGGGATGTGCTCCCATCCCTGGGAAGGGAGCACAGTGTCATCCAGGGTGGCTGCCGAGGATACTCGTAGTGTTTCCAGGGACCGTTCTCCTTCCAGGTGTAGCTCGGATTTGGGAATGGTTTGCGACAGGTCTTTTCCAAGGCAGATCAGTGCCTAAGGAGTCGGGTGCATGACTACAGTCCATTTTCCAAATGCCTGTCTGCATTTTTCAGCACTCAGATGTCTGTAAAATCCTGAGCCTCGGAGACTACCTCCCAGGAGGCTGCAATTTGAGTTATCTCTAGCTGCCTGACCCACGCTTCTGCACCCCACTGCTCTCTATCTGACTCCAGATAAATGCTTCCTCTGACTTGAAGGAATAACTCTCTTTGAAATGGTTCAAATCACGCTTAATTTTAGTCCTTTGAGTTCTGCTGCCAACCTGGTGCTTTTGTTCTAGCAAAAAACACCAGCTTGTGTTAGTGTGAGCAGGTTTTGGTTCTTAGCACTGTTTTAGTATGCATTTCTCTAAACAAGGAGAGCAATTACCCTATGGCAAAATAACTGTCTCCAACTGCCTTTTTCCCCATTAAACAAATGGAAGGTTTTACCTCCTGGTCTTCCCACTGGATTAATGCACTCTCTCTGCAGGAACCATCTTAAACCAATCCAGGAATTTGAACAACTTGCAGACAGCAAGTCTAATTGTCACAGAATCTTATTTAGCTGATGCCAATTTTCCTTAAGAGGTGATCTCTGTTAATAACGTAGACTTATAACTCTTGTGAATGAAAAGAAAAAGCTCGTTCTTTTCCCCCACACAGGCAGGGATAATGAACTCCTAAATCAGTGCTCTTTCCGAGGAAGCTTTTTCTTCTTTTAACAGAGATTGGCTTGAAACCTCAGCGGTATCAGAAAATCCCAGTGCCTTCATACACGTCCCCTTGGAAATTTAACCAAATGAAATCCTGGTGTTACTGAAATCAGATTGACTACTGGTGACTAGAGAGCTAGAGTTTGACCTAAGACTTTCCCATTTGCTCCCTATGGGGAAATGAGGGGCTGACAGGGATTCTCGGACAGGCTGCAAGGTTGACTGGCTTGGGCAAGAAATGAGTTAAACCCTTCTGTAAGGTTGGGGATCCCTAATTTAGGGAAACTGTGGTCTTCCTGTCAGACAAGGTATGATTTCATGTGTGCAGTTGGCCTCCGTGAATCAGTCAGTTTGCAACAGTTCCTTAGGATTGTTGTGGTGTATTTTTGCAAGAACTTTATTTAAACTTTTGCAGTGATGGGGAGGGAGATGATTTCTGGGTAAAAATAGTATTTGTTCAAAAAGACAATGGTTTTGTTAGGATTTTTTTCTTCTACTGAACCCTATTTCCTTTAACCTTCTCCCTTCTTCCTATCCTTCCTCTAGACTAGGCGTTAATACAAAGCTGAATCATCTGGTTTTGTTCCCCTCTTAAAATAAGCTTTTCACTTCCTTAATGCCTTCTTTAATTCCTCCCAGCGCAACAATCATAGTTCCATTTGGACCAGGGTGTATTAGTGGAGGAAGTTTTGGAAGTGCTGTTATTTAGGATGTGACTGAAATCCAGCCTAGCTGGAGCAGTTCAAAATGTACCTCCTACAAGAACTCCTCTAGCAAAGTGATCAGATTGGAGGCCTCAGGTACCCTGAATGTCTGCAAGATTATGTATGAGGATGCTTAGAGATGATTAGAGCCATTGTCCTTCAGTTTATCATCTTGCTTTTCTGCTGCTCCTTGTTTTCCTGCTTTGCTGTGTGAAAAAGGGAGAAACGCTCTCCAGGGAGAGGCTGCCAACAGTTCTGCCCCTGGCACAACATTTATGCCAGGGGTTGCACTGGTTTTAGTGTCCTAATCTTCTTTCCAAGCCTAAATGTGACATGTCCGTAATATATTTTTTCTTTTCCTCAGCAGGCAGAGGTAGGGAGGCAAGATCAAGCTTACTATTAAAGCTAAGAGAATCCGCTTAAGAGACAGATGTGACAAAGCAGGAGACCAAGTCCTGCAGCATATGGAGCATCTTGTTTTTTTCTGTAAATACCCCAATTTGTAATCTTAAAGGAAAAAAAAGACACAGATTGGATCAGCTTCTATCACAAAGCAGGCTGTAGTAGGAAATCCACCCCCCAAAACAAAAAACAAGAAGCCATGAAAAAGGAGATGATAAATCTTTATTGCCACGTGGCTGTTGCTGGTGTGGAGGTGGTGGATGGTGTTTGCGCAGGCAACTGTAACTCGGTGCCAATTAATAGCAGCGTGAGGAGTCCCTGGGCTTGGCAGCCTTGGAATTTCCTGGCAGCAACAGGGAATACTGGGGCTTTCCCTGACCTTCTGCCTCTGGAACTTCAGCTGATGCAAGGAGATGTTGTTCCTGCATAGGGAGATGCTGTTCTAACTCCTTTTCCTTCCTCTACCAAGTTTTACTTGGAGGGGATGAGGCAGGATTATGCCCTTATTTTAAGTATTGTCTAAGATAAATAAATCTACTATAAAAAACAGCTGCCACAGAGAAAAAGAGAGCCTATGACTACCTCTGTCAAGGGAGCAGTTGGGAGCTCCTCTTTGCCTGTGCTATAAAGACTCCAAAATAGCAAGAAAAAGTTATCAGAGAATTTACAGGAACTTTATTGTCGCAGATTGCCACAGGGTTAATGTATGAAAAGTGTTGGGCCCTCAGTTTTATTGAGAGCTTTCTGTAGTCAGGAAGCTTTTTTTAAAAAGATCTCAAGCCTGCATTAACACAACTGCCTGCAAATCACCACTTTCATGGTTTTTCATTTGAAGATTTTTTGGCCCGCTTGGTGTGAGGCAAAAAGCTTGAAAAAATATACCCTAAATGGCTCCAGCACTGCAAAAGCAACCTGCCAGGGCTGAAAAAAAGAAGTTATTTTCCTAATTTTAGGGATGGAGAGGTTCATGAATTTTCAGTGCTTGGGCTGGCACTGCCACTCAGGCCCACTGAGCAGCCAGGCCTGCAGCCAGCTGCAGCGTGAGGCCGGAGAAATCGCTAATCGAGAGCTCAGCGAGCTAAGCTCCCCTTCCTTTATTTTTTAAAATAATTTCTTTATTTTTTAAAGACACCAAAGAAAAAGGACAAAACGGGGTGGCTGTGTTGGCAGCAGCTGGAGGGGCAGAGCGCGGCCGCACAACATGGCGCCCTGGCGACGCTCCCGTGAGGCACGAGCGGCTTCCCCTCCGGCTCCAGCATCTTGGCGAGGAAAAGCTGGGCATTTTTAGCATTGTCAGTTGCATTCAAGAGGGAGAAGGAGGCCAAGGGCTGATGACTTGCTTGAGGGGCTTGCTGTAGCTTGGGCGGCTGTTCCTAGGCACCCGACTGTAGTTGTTCCCGCTCTTCGGCTGTTGAGATTTTGCCTCAATTGCGGTACCTCATATTGGAGCAGGCAGAAACACCCACGTACGGGAGAAGCGTCACCTTCCCTGAGCTTCCCTTGGCCACCCAGGGGTGTTTCATTTTTCATCTGAAATCTTTTTTTACGCTTAAAAGCGCAGACTTGGGTCAACTCAACATGTTATTGGCTTCCATCCACTTGTGAAAATCACTTCAGCTGGGGAAACAAGAATTAAAACTGAATAAAAAAAAATACATGGTGCCTTTTTGAAGATTGCATTAGGCGGAAACTTATTTTCTCTTGACTCATGCCCTTGAGTGCAATGCCATTCCTGATGGTGAAGTGCAACACGCAATCCAATTAATACCATCGTTATCCTGTTGCTGGGGGCAGAAGGCTGCCAGCAAACTGGAAATCAATTTTGATCGCTCTGAATGTATCGTCCTGAATGAGGCTGAACAAAGCAGTTGTTTGCTTTGCACACAAGCAAATGAAAACTACTGTAACTTATATTTAAGTTACTAAAGGGATGGGGACAGGGATAAGTGTTGATGAGTTTTCCTGTAACAAGTATTTAAACTAACATGTCCAACTTCATCACTTTCACAGCTCCGGAACTGCTGGGAAGGGCAATCTGGGAGGGCAGTTACTGAGAACAGGAGTTATTTGATGCTATGTGTTTACTGGAAATTATTGATCAGTGATGCTCAGCTTTTTATGAAGTGCTACAGTGAACAGGCAGTTTAGATGTGTGGCTGCAAAATCTGCAGCAGCTTGCTCATCTTTGCAAATGAACTCAGCAATGATGGAATCTTCCAATAGGAAAATGCAAAGATATTTAAATTATTATTTAAATACATTTAAATTATGGACAGTGATGATACTGATATAATTTCTTTTTTTTCCTGTTTTTTTTTGTTTTAATCTCCAAAGAGAAAGTGCTGTCTGTACTGTACAGAGGCTGGAATAGCAGCAGGAAAATGCAACTTGGAAATAATAGGATCTGTAAGAATAGGCAATTTAATTCAAGTATAGTGATTTAGTGCCCTGTTAGTGTCCTGATGTATTACTCCATTTCCAAAGACCGTAAGTTTCTTCACAAGCTTAATGACAGGCTTAAAACTTGTGAGACTAATGCCACAGCTTTCTCTGTCCTCAGCTGTTCCCCATAATTATAGGAGTAAGGGAATTTTGTGCTTTCCTGACAGATTAGCTCCAAGAGAAATAAATCAGATAATACTATTGCACCACCGGTTTCTGATTTCTTTCCTCCCTCTCCGTAAAGCAGGCAAGCCCAAGCAGGGCACTGCAGAGGGCTGCAAGGGTTTGTTCTCACCTGCAGTCCCTGGCAGGGTTGTGATCCCAGCTGCGGGGACATCTTGATCCCTGGTTTTAAAATGCTCCATTTTTGTTGCTGTTTTCTTGCTTTGGGCACTAACGTCGGCTTCTGTGTCTGCTCTGTTCACAGATGATGGCCCTTACTCGAAGGGGAGCAAGGACTCGGGGGGGATGGATGCGGCCCTGGTGTCCAGAAGGCAAAGCATCCCAGGTAAGGGCGAGGGTCGTGTTGTGCTTCCACCCATCCACCTTTATCCAGCTACTCCTGTTTCAGTGCATCCCTGAGTGGGGCTTTACCTGGAAGGTAACAACCAGTGTCAGTCAGTGTGAGCGGTGTGTTACAGATGCAACCACAGTCTGGCTTGGGCAGTTAAAATGAACTAGGGAAGACGTGGTTCCTGCCCTGAGATTATACCTGCAAAGAAGGAAATGCACAACTAAGAGAGAGGAAAGAGCCTGTGTGTGCTGGGCAGAACAGGCTGTCCCCATGGCCATCATCAGTGCGAGCTGGCAGCCCTGAGCTGGCCTTAGTGTGGCCATGGCCTGGATGCTTCTACTGTCTGTCCTTAAAGACCTTATCTTGAAGGACCAGCCCCTGCTTAACCAGCTCTCTGACCTGTTTGTGTGCATCTGTGATGCCAGCAGCAGATTTCTAGTGGCATTGGTCAACGTCACCTGTTGTTTACCTTGATGGACTGATCACAGGGACTGGCCTCTTTTTTCTTTTTTTCTTTTTTGGATTCTTTTTTTTTTTTTTTTTTTTGGTTTGGTGATTTCTCCTTGAACCGGTAAGATGGATAATTGCACTCTAGGACTTCTCATTTTAAGCATTTATCACGGATCAAAATTAAACTCCATTCAAGAGCTAATAATCTCCCCTTGCGGCACCATCTGTGTTGATCAGTCACGTCTGTAGTTGAGAGGAAATTTGCAGGCTAGTGCTGGATGGCTTTCCATCCAGCATGGCAAGGAGCCCCCACGAACTTTCTGGCAGCTCCTGAGATCCTGGGTTAGAGAGTGGAGAACAAGTTACTGGAGTTGGCAAAGGCTCAAAACTGTTGGAGGTTAAAGAGCAGGAGCTTGACAGCCCTGGTGTTTTACAGAGTTGCTGTTGCCGTGTTCAGCAGAACACAGCAGTGCCTGAACACCTTCCAAAGTGGTGTGGGGTTGCACAGAGGTTCCCCTTCCTTTCTTAAAAAGCTTTATCAAGCAGGTAGTGCACAGGGGGACTTGAAAGGAGGTGCAATTTCTGGTGGTACGATGGCGTTGCGCAAGGAGCAAAGTGCTGGCTGGGCCTTGCAGGTGGCCCATGGCCATCGTCCCATACGTGGCCCCAGCGAGAGGTGCCCCGTGCGAGGGATGCTGGGGCTGCCAGGGGATTTCAGGGTGCAGGGATGGTGCATGTGAGCAAATGCTGCCAAAGCTTCTTTGAGGAGGCTCTGCAAGGCATGAAAGTCATCCGGTCATCCCATGAAGAGCAGGAATGCTGGCATGTGGACTAACATGGAGCTGCCTACTCCATGTCAGCGGCGCTCTTGGTCATTCCTTGGGCCAGTGCTGGCCCTCCAGTATATTTGTGCCCTTCCTCCATGTCACATCCAGAAGCTGAAATAGTTTAGGGAGGCTGCTTTTGTAAAGCGCAGAGATGAGCTGTGGTGGGATCAAAACTGGCACTAGATTTGGTTGGATTCGTGGATGGTGAATAAACAGGAATATCTTCTTCAACCAAAGGGAGGGTACATATCCACCCCTGGCAAATGGAGGAGGGGTAAAGATGCAGCAAACACAAGGCCCGTGTCTTGTAGAACAGCCCTTGCCACTACGTATGCAATGTATACGTAACCGGTTCTGGTTTATAAGTGACTAATGTGTTCAGTGCCAGCAGGAGATGATGTGGGTGATATGCAGTAAGTTTGTCTTAGACTGGGTGGAGAGACTGCAGTGAGGGAACAAAACCCGAGCTTCCCCTTCCTCTGACGTGGCTCTGAACCTGCCAACGCAGCATCCCAGCCTCCCCGCTTCGTGTTCCTTATGTCCCAGCTGCTTTGAAGGCTCGGGTTATTTCTTTAATTTTGATATTTTAAGATCTACCCCGTTCTCTCTGTCCAGGCAGCTTCTCCCGGTCCTCCTGCCTGTTATCCAGCCTTCCTAACACCCATCCTGGTCCATATAAAACATAGTTACTGAGGTAATCTCCCTGGAGCACTGCTCTTCTCACATCACTGTGGTTTTGAATCCTGACACTGGATCTCTAGCACCTTGGAGGCACCAAGCTTTTATCCTCTCACGAGTCCTTGCTCCTCTGCCGTGCCCCTGGTTTCTCTTGCCTGCCAGACCTGCATGAAATGCTTTCCCCCCGCCTCTATGGGTCCATCAGGATCCACTTCACTCTCACAACCCAGTAAAACTGTTGTTTCTTGCCTGTTGTCTGAGCATGCCGGTATCTTGGCATGCTCTGGACATGTTCTGGACCTGTAGCCAGGGCACAGGGCAGCCAGTGGGACCGTGTCAGTCATTAGTGCCGATGCTCAGACCTCTCTCAGACACCAGCACTGGAAGAGCTGCTGCTTCGTTGTTGTGATGCTGGTGTCAGCAGTGAGTGGAGAAAAAACAGCCTGTTGGGTTGAGGTCTCCCAAAAACTGAAGAATGAAAAAGTACAAATATCCAGAGAAGAGAATTTCCTCCTTCATTTCACTTTTGTAAACTTCTAAAAATTTTCTTTCATTCCCCTTTCTACTGTAAGCCTCACTTTCATAATAAGTTCTCCACGTTTATCTCATCAGTATATAAAACTGGGGAATTTTCTTCCTGCTGAGTGTATAAAGTGCCCCAGATCAGCTCTCCCATCAGTAGTCGGGGTAGGATGCCCCTGGGATGGAAAGGACCTGCCTGCTGCTGAGGGGTTGACCTTTATCCCTGATATTCCAGAGGAGTTCCGAGGGGTCACCATTGTAGAGCTGATCAAGAAGGAAGGAAGCACCCTCGGATTAACCATTTCGGGTGGCACAGACAAAGATGGAAAGCCCAGAGTCTCCAACCTGAGGCCAGGAGGACTGGCAGCAAGGTGAGAAATGGAAATGGGACCCAGAGGGTGCTGGAAAGGAAACATTGCATGTCCCAGTTACTGAATATGATTATACTTAAAATATTTGCTACCAGACTGTTTTCTTTTTCCTGCAGATACCCCAAAATGTGAAGTTTTTGCTTCAGTAAGGAGACCTTTTTCTACTTTGAGCTATTTCTCATGGCCTGTGCAGTCACATCCTGAAACTTTGTTTGAGGATATTTGGGATTCTGTGAAACTAGACTGCTTTGCCAGGAGAGTGTGTGATATACAGGAATACATCTTGATCGAGCTAAGGGGCCTGATATTCTGTCTTTTCTGAATACTGAGTGTGCAAGTAACATTACTGGATCAGTAAAGGATTGGGAGAAGAAAGGCTTCAGGAAACAGAGACAGGAAAGGAGTAATTGACTCCTTTCAGAGTCACTCAGTCACTTTGCAGAAAACAGGCAAAATGAAAGATTTGTTCTTTTTCCTGCTGGGTCTTTTTTCCTTTTTTTTTTTTTTTCCTTCAGACAGCTCTAGGTGTGTTTTTCACTGATTGATTGCTCTACGTGAATGAGAAGTGAGCAACAAACGGAGGGGTTGTGAACGCGTACGCTGTGACTGGTACTATATGCCCAGATGTGAAAAACTGCCACCAGGGGAGATAGATGGCTTTGATTTTTGTGCTTCTTTCTGAAATAGCAGACACATGTAACTAGACACCTGGGGTCAGTGCATTTTTGGTGGCTCGCTCAGAAAGCCTCGCAGTCACAAAAGGTTCTCCATGCATGGGCAGGCTGAAGGCAGCAGGGACTTTCTGCTATCCTCGCTTTCCTTTTCTTCCTTTGCAGAAGTGACCAGTTGAACGTTGGGGATTACATCAAGTCGGTGAATGGCATTAACCTCACCAAGCTGCGGCACGACGAGATCATCAGCCTGCTGAAAAACGTGGGCGAAAGGGTAGTGCTAGAAGTAGAGTACGAGCTTCCACCAGCCGGTGAGCGTCTCTAAGATAAATCTGTGGGCTTCTCTTGCCTGCTTTTTGTCCTGGGATGCAGATGAGTGCGTCCGTGCCCTGCTCGTCGTGGCTAGGGCTATTTCCTGGGGCGTTTTTGCCTCGGGGCTTCATCTGCTCGCGGTGGGTGTTGCGGAGCTGCGTGCCAGCGGAGCGGAGCGCTGCCTTTTCCAGCACAGTGGGTGCCTGTTCATGCACACCGGCGGGAGATGCCTGATTAGATTTGTCTTGCCTCGCAGTGGCTTGGTAGCATGGGCCAATCTGCCTCCTGATGCTATCATGTAGGCTTGCTTGCCTTTTTTTTTTTTTTCTCCCTTTTTCTCCCCTTTTGGAGCATGTACAGGAGGTTTTATTCAGGTTTATACAGCGCCAGATCCTTTTCTCTGAACTGCATCAAGTGCTATTATTTTATTCCTCAAGGCATATTCAAATGTTATGTGTTTTCGGCAGGAAAGCTGAGCCCTGTGCTGAGCCTTAAGCTTCCTGCTTCCCGCAGCTCCTGGGAAAGGCTGTTGCAGAAGGTCATGCTCGGCTGCCTGGGACGGAAATGGAGTACTTTCCTAACCCGCCTGTGGCTGCTTTGTACCCTTTTCTTGGTAGCTGGCTATCACCCACTAACCTAGAGCCCCCCTATCTAGAGATGTTTTGCTCTGGAGCATCTCTGGGCCGTGTCCACGTCACCCAGCACAGCCCAGCAGGAGCAGAGCGGCTGCTCCAAGGACGCAGGGACTGCAGAAACACCAAGGGCAGGTCTGGGCAGAGGAGACTGGGAAATGGTCCTGTTCACAGTAGCACTTTGGTAAATCATTAGGTAGCAAGGGGTGGCAAAAGACAGAAATACTTTTTAATGTACAAAAGTAAAGAGAAAAAAAAGGGAGGGGAAAAAAAAGTATTTCTGTGTATTTGACATAAAATTACTGCATTGCCCCCAGGATCAGTTTAAAGGATTCACTTAATCTTTTCTAAAGTCAAAATGTGGGAGGGAAGGGGGAAAAAAAACCCTCAACCTTTTGCACTGAGGATTTGGGATTTTCATTTGCTTTAAGGTCAACCAGTGACTTGATTCCTTAGGTGGCGGCTGGTGTGGGTTTTTTTTTTTTTTTTTTTGTTTAATAAGTTGCCATCTGTGGCAAAAGCTCCTGGCTTTTGAGTAATGCTGAGCCCTTTAAAGCCGGTTGATAAACAAGAGGGTTTTACTTGAATGTCAGTGTATCAAGCAAGGTAAGTTTGAGGGGAGATGCACGGAGCTCAGCGGGTGGAATCATGCCAGAAAATGCTTGTTTGCTCTACTGAGGGTTCAAACTTGGTCGGGGCCTGTGCACCCCCTTAGGGGTGTGGATAGCCCCATTATGGGGCTGCGCTTTCCTTTGCCTTATGCTCAGCTGAGTTTTGGTCTGGTTTTGCAGCGTGAAGCAGGTTGGGGGTAACTGCATCTCTCTGTGTCCCCCTCAGTGCCGGAGAGCAGCGCGGGCATTATTCCCAAGACCATCGAGGTGTCCCTGTACAAGGAAGGCAACAGCTTTGGCTTTGTGCTGCGAGGTTAGTGGCTTTTCTGGTGAGGATCCTCTTGGCAGGGGCAGTTTGGGGAGAGAAAAGAAAACAGGCAAATGCCATAAAGCTCCGAGGAAAAGAAGGAGCGTGCCAGCAAGGACCGCGGCTGCCTGCTCCACAGGAAGCTTTTTGCTTTGTCAGTTATGTGATGAATGTCTGTAGTTTCTCAGTGCTCTCCCTCTGACTTGCAAATCTGTGGTATTTACAGCATTCCTACTTTCATTGCAGGGGGAGCTCATGAAGACTGGCACAAGTCGCGACCGCTGGTTCTCACCTACGTGAGGCCAGGGGGCCCAGCAGACAGGTAACACACACGTTTTGCCACCTGGACGAGAGGACTTGAACAAAAGTAATAAAACTTGGGTACAAGTAGAAACCCAGGCAGTTCATCTGCATGTAAGGAAGAACTTTCCTGTTTAGGGTGCCAGAGCCCTGGCACAGGCTGCCCAGGGAGATTGTGGAGCCTCCTTGTCTGGAGGCCTTCGAAACCTACCTGGATGTCACCCTGTGCCCCGTGCTCTGGGTGTCCCTGCTGGAGCAGGAGGGTTGGACTGGATGATCTCTAGAGGTCCCTTCCAACCTCAACCACTCTGTGATTCTGTGAGGGGTCCCATCACACTTTCGGCTGTGTGCTCTTGTCCTTCTTGCTGGTGTCTCACCTACAGCAGCCCCAAGGCTTTGCGTGCAGGTGGTGTGTGGAATGGCACTGCCATGATGTTTGGGGCCTTTGGTGTGTAGGGAGCACACGTGCCATGCTTTTGTGCTGGCCTGTGTGTGCATGTTAATGGAGCACCCAGAAACACCTCTTGAGGAGACAGCAGCCTAATTAACTCGGTGAACATGAAGAGCTGGTGCTATATTGAAAAACAGGAGGTGGTCTGTCTATTTGCATGCTGCTAATTTAAAGTGATGGACCTGACACTCTAAATACCCCAAATTATTGTCCCAAGGAGTGTTTAGTTCCTGCTGAATGAGGTAATTGGCTTATGTATATATAATTTTTTTCTTTTTAAGTGACTTTTGCCTATGGCTTCCTGCAGGGAAGGGTCCTTGAAAATTGGGGACAGACTGCTGAGTGTTGATGGGATTCCCTTGCACAGCGCAACTCACGCTGATGCCCTCAACATCCTGCGGCAGTGCAGCCAGGAGGCCCTTTTCCAGATTGAGTACGATGTGACCATCATGGGTAAGGCCAAGGAGGCTGGGGTGGCTGCCTGCAAAGCAGGTGTCAGTAGAGGCAGTAACTGGGATCCTTGGTTTCGGGGGAAGAATTGCTGAGCACTGTGCTGCCAGCATGGATGAGGGTTCAAAGCTGGCTTAGTTAAAAGCATTTGAAGTGTGTGCATTTGATGATGTGTCTCGAGGCGAATGACCAGTGATTTCAGGAAGGCTGGAAGGGAGTTTTGAGTGTAGGCAAAGAGAGGATATAGGAGAAATCAGAGCTAAAGGCACCCCGAATATAGGCATGCTGCCAGCACTGCAAATACTGTTATTAGACCTGTGCAAGGGAGGGACTTGCAAGCAGGCATCAGCGTGATGTGACCATGATTTGGATTCAGAGTTTTGAGCCTGCTTAATTCTAGGGTTATTCCTTTGGTTTGACATTTTACTTCAATTCTGCTTCCAAGATAAGTGAGAGTTGTTCATCTGATTGACCTTGAAGAAGACAGAACTTACTGAAGGGCAAGGGATGGGTAATTTAAATAAATGTTCTATCCAGTAGAGAGTAAATTAGAGGGTTTGGAGGGGTTGGTTGATTTGAGGGTTGTGGGTTTTGCTTTTTATTTTTTTTCTTATATTTTGTGGTTTGATTTTGGTTCAAGCTCTGGTTTATTATTAGCCACTGTAAAGTCATTCTGAGCTGGCTTTGTGACACACAGCTGTTACTGCAGGGAGTGGAGTTAATGAGTTTAAGGTTACCACAGAGTCCGAAGCTGTGTTGGCTCTGGAAACTCACTGAGCTGTGCATGAGATTTGGATGTTGGATATATGTTTCCAGAGGGGCTTCTGCCCCCACTGGAGCCACAAGCTGGATTATTTTGGAGTCTCTTCTGCAAATCCCATAAACCAGTCCAGCCTGTCTGAGCCTAGGATCTGCTGAGGAATGGGAATCAGTGAGATCAGGTTGTTTTCTGGCTTGCCAGTAAGAAGGGAAATGAAAAGGATCTGCAGTTGAGAGGATCTAATGGCTCTGCATCCTCCTTGCCCTGTGAAAAGAAGAGCCCAGAGCTCTTAAAACTCACTCTGTGCCAGATGCACCAAGGTAGGGGAGCTCCTTGCACAAGCTGTGCGGGTCCTCGGCTTCCTTCTCAGTCTCTTTGGCCGTGCTGTTTCCCTTCCTTTCGTCACAAATTGCCCAAGCATGGGCAGAGTCCAAGCTCTCCCTGCGTGAGGAGCTGCCAGGGCCTGTGACGCACACAAGCTCCTCTCCCAAAGGTGTAGGGGAGACCTCTGCAATCTCCTCTGCTACCTCCTGTTACAAGAGGAGCTTCTGTTTAGAAGCAGGGTGGTAAACAAGAAAAAGAGGAAACCTTCTGTTATAAAAATTGCAGAAAAATAGCAACTCCTCAAAGCCTATTTTCTCCCCTCTCATACGTTTCTGGTTGCAGTGCCTCTGCAAAGGACACTATGGGGTGGCCGTTGCTGTGCTGGCAGCTCTCCGTCCTCGACGGGAGGTTTGTGCCCAGCGCTCCAGCCTGCACAGACACAAACTGCTAATGGGCTTGGGGGCAGCTGATGTTTGTGCAGTTCCCTGGTGCCTTTTCTGCAGCAAGTTGTGTTGTTTCCAAACCAGACTTGGAGGAAAAATAGCCATGAAGGTGGCTTGATACTTCTTCTTAAGTAACTCTCCCAGCTACAGATGGCAGGGCTGAGGGAGCGTGGAGCAGCATCGGGTTTTATCTGGTGATTCTCCATCCTGTGTCACTGTGTGGTGACCACACAGCCAGATGTCTGCAAAGAAGACACAAAAACAGCCTCTTCCTCAGGTAATTCCTTCACAGAGGTTGCTTCTCCTCAACCCCATAGAGGGATTCCCACACCTTGCTTTCCTTTTTTTTTTTTTAAATGCCTATATGTCTATGCTTCCTTTTAAAAGCAAGAAGATGCAGAACGTGGAGCTTAAAACAAGCCTTGCAGACAGTTTGCCAGGCAAAGCCAATAGCTGCAGTAGATGAGTGTATCACCCCAAATCACAGCTGAGGAAGATGTGGGTTTTAGTGAAGGAGATGCAAGAAGGGACCTGAGTGACATGGGAACAACCTCCCCTCGGGGAGGGAACGTGACTTCTGCACAACTGGCCATGCTGAGAGGGCGATGTGAATAGTGCCACCTCTAGCTGCCATTCCTCGATGTTTCTTTTTTAAATTAACTTGGATGTAATTGCCCTGTGCTAATCATGCCTCACAAATATTGCTGAGCTGCAGACTGCTGACCTTTGACTGGAGCCAGATCTTTCCTTGAAATAATTAATAGAGACTTGTCTGATATTTGCCCACCAAATACCTTTATAAAATGGATTTACAGCCCTCATCTGTGCAACAGGAGGGCAGAGTCAAAGGCACCACAGGGTAGCTCTTACTTTGAGTAGCAGGAAGAAAGCACATGTGGGAAGGACTGTAATTTCCTATGGCCTTATTGATACTTAGCTCCTGGCAGGGGAGCAGGAGTCCAGAGCCTTTTCCCCTTACTGCCATTCACAGACCAACCCCTGGAAAAGGTCTTGCAAAGCACAGGAGTTTGCACTGCTGCAGCAAACCACATGTGAATGAGTGTGAGTGCATGAACTAGCCAGGCCCCTGGCCTCTGGGCTGCAAAGCAAGAGGAACAAGTATTTTTTCTTGAAATAAAGCCACCCAGGTCTATCACTTCGGAAAGCACTGTCTCCACAAGGATTTTTGGTATTTGCTTCACTTTGTCTGGAAGACTATATGGCTTTGCATTTTGCATACCAGCTGCAAAATCCGGGCTGTGTGGCTGGTATTTGCAGCTGGAAGAGATGCCTCAGTCTTCCTCTTGCTGCTTCCTCTGCTAATGAAAGCTTGAGTGCAAATTGTGAGGGCTTCACATGGGTGTCATGTGTCTCTCAGTTGAACCAGGACTGTGCTTTTTGCCAGGACCCCTTTCAACCAGGGATAGATGGTTTCAACCAGGGACAGTCCTGTTTTACTTGGAGCCAGTTTTTCAGCAGCTTTAACATGACCTGTTCCTCCTCCTCTCTCCCCTGAAGAAAAGGACACAGTGAGCAGAGCCAGAGCGCAAACGCCCCTTGGCTGATCTCCACGCCAAGGATATTTCTGTCTCTGGAGAATCAGCATCTTAAAGGAATCTCAAGAGAGACCACACTGCAGCTGAACCTCTGTGACCTGCACCAACACTCCCATTTATCAGAGACCAAGAAGGAGCCATGTGTCAAGCTGCAAAGCCAAATAGCATCAGTATTTTCAGTGGAGCGCAGCTTTGCAGGAGAACAGCTTCCTGTGAATGACTAAGGGTTGAGGAGGCATCGTGCCCTCGGAGAAGACTCTTCTCCAGAGCCAGTGGCTGGGTTTCTATGAAGCCGCGTGGGGATAAAGGGGTAAAATTGCACCCAGGCGTGCTGTCTGTGCCTTGACAGGGTTGGCAATGCCCCTGAATCCAGCCTCTTTGTAACAGCTTTGGGTAATCTGGAAGCAAATGTGTGTGCTGGAGGTGGAGGGAATTTCTGCCTAATCAGTTCGAGTTGCAGATTTTGTTTCCTCCCTCTCTCAGGGTGCAGATGAATAGGGATGATGTGCAAGCTGCTGCTAACAGGTGCGGTTTCGTGGGAGTTCCATGGTCTCGCTTACAGCAGCTATTAGGCTTATTGCAGAAATGCATCTTTTAAACATGAGCTACCTCTGTACTGTCTGGTGGGAGAGAGGAGGCTTTTGTAAGCATGCAGGTAGGGAGAGTGTCCCTGCTCCCACTGGAGGAGTGGAGAAGAGTTGGAGGATACATCAGAGCTGGTGCTGGAGCGCCCAAGAGCTGTTGGCTTCCAAGTTGGCCGTCTGTGCACAGGACTTCAGGTTATCTCAGGAAAAGATTTCTGTTCCTTTCTGGATTGTTTTTGGAGAAACCTAAACCAGTGATATTCTTCTGATCTCCCATTCTGTGTTTTTCATACGATGTCATTGTTGTGACTGCTGCACTGCCTTTGAGCTTCCTTGATCTTTCTATTTAACCCCAGAAAGGATGTGCGTGTGGGAGGGAGTTGAACCCATGAGCAAATTGCTTTTATAGCTGTTCACTTTATTATCACATCTGCTTTATGCAGAAGCAATGTTGCTTCTTGAATTTATTTTCTTCTTACCATGTGAGGCAGAGTGGTGTTCATGTAGGAGGTCCAAACTACAGGTTTGCTAATGCTTGCAGCAAGTCAGCACTACTGGGCCTCCCACCGCCTGTTTCCATATTTAGAAATGGGAAATTCTGTGTGAGAAACATCTTCATATGCTCTCTTGTTCTGCAGATACTGTAGCAAATGCTTCAGGTCCTTTGCTAGTGGAGATAGCGAAGACCCCGGGCTCGACGTTGGGAATCACGCTGACGACAACCACTCATCGGAACAAGCAGGTCATTGTCATCGACAAGATCAAACCGGCCAGCGTGGTGGACAGGTATGGAACTCAACAGGCTGGACTTGTTCTGCTTTTCCCTTCTGTGTTGCTTTTTTCTACCCTCACGAGTTACATACCATTCCTCCATCCCACTCTTTGAGATGGCCACGTCCATTTTCCAGGTAAACTAAATGTGCTAAGAATATCTGGTGTAATGCCAGAGGACACTCCTCATCAGGAGTAAATGTTATTCAGTGCATGTGAAAGCTGAACTCCCCTTTTTTAAGTAAAAAAATGAAAAATCGTGATCTGGCTGCCCTGGAGCATTGGAATAACAAAAGTGTGCTTTGGAAACCTGTCCCTGGAACCTTTTCCTGTTGTGCAAGGCAGGTGGTCACCCTTTACACTGGGATACAGAAAGACAGACCTCTTTGCAGTCCTAGCTGTGATTAGTCTTGTTGCTCCACTGAACTGCTGCCTCTTAGGACTTCTTTTTAAAATTCGGATATTCTGTGTTGGAGCTCAGGGAGCTGGTCTGGGTGTGTGCTCAGCCCTCCTGCGTAGCTACCGCTGAACTCTTAAGCATCAACAGAAGCTTAAACATCTTCCCCCAGCCACCAGCAGCACTAACTCAAAGACTGACCACTCTGGTCCATGATTTCAGCAACACTTGAACCTAAGATTCAAACTGGAAGTCAAAGAGTGGAACGTGAAAACAAATAAAAATAAATTTGTGTGAAACAGAACAGCTGCATTTTGTACATTTCTGCTCCCAACCATAAGGACATGGATTTCAGCCATGTGCATAATTATCCCTCTTGTTTCCTTTGCAGATGTGGCGCGTTGCATGTTGGTGACCATATTCTCTCCATTGATGGCACAAGCACAGAGCACTGCTCCTTATTAGAGGCAACGCAGCTTTTAGCTGCCACTTCAGAAAATGTCAAGCTGGAGATACTACCTGTTCACCAAAGCAGGCTGCCCTTGAAGCCTCCAGAAACAGGTGTGTCCCCCATGCCAACAATGTTGGTTGCCCTCAAAGCTCACTGCTTTTAAATGCTGGCAAGAGACTGCCAGAGAGAGACATCTGTGGAGGAAAAAAAAAAAAAAAGAAAAAAGATATTTTGATGAAATGCCTGTGATTAGATGGCATTCGTCAAGGACATGAATGGGGAAAAAGGTAACATCTGTGCTTGAATGGGGAAATTGTCGTTGGGAATCCCAGGGTTTTGCAGTGCCGAGTGCTGTGCAAGCCATTTTCTTAGTACCCCAGAAAAGAGAGAGAAAAACAACTTTGGTGCTGGGAAATATATTTTCAAGCTCAGCTTTCATTCTCTAGTGTTTGGTAAAGCTACAAGAAGAGTGTGTCAGTGGCTAGGCAGGGTCACACTGGACTCCCATAGGAAGCAGTGCTGTAAGATGAGTGTCTGTCATCAGGACAAGCCTGTTTGAATGGCAGCCATCTGAATGGCAATCTCACCAGTCGGTGGTAGACCACAGAAGTGGCTGCTATGAAACCAAAGCCAACAAATCCCTGTAAATTTTAGACTTTGTTAGGAATTGACCCGGTTGAACATCTTTATGGCTGTCTTTAGCGTCTCCTTTCATGTGAGAGGCTGAGTTGGCCACTCATCTAAACCTGGTAGGACATAATCTCAGCACTGCTTGGTTTATTGTGGGGCTTGCCTGCACTTCTGATACAGTGCACGTTGGTGGTCTTGCAATTCATGTCTTTAAGGCATTGACTGGTCAGTCCAGCCTCTTTGGCTACCATTTCCAATCACATGGATGATGAATGTCCCTCAGCAAAATACATTTTATTCATCTCTATTACTAGCCCCAAGCACAACTGTCACTGTCCTCTTCTAGGGCAATCTGGGAACATGACACTTCTTCAGCATGATGCAGTAGAACATAAAATCTAACAACATCTTCGTGTCTAGAAATAAATCTCATACATGTCTAGTTCAATTTGTGCAGAATTAAAGCAGTTTAACAAAGGGGAAGAATGACTTGACCTTTGTGCCCAGGATAAAATGGAAAGCTAAAATCCTTTTTCCATGGCTGTTAAAAGGAACTGTTCTCCTTCTTCCATTAATGCCCTGGTCCTAATGCCTTCCATCAATGTCCTGGTCCACTCTAGACACCACGTACCAATTCCACAGGCTGCTTTCCACAGACTGGTGGAAGCAAACGTGGGTAGTAAGGGCCTTGCAAAGGCAGATTCTCCTGGCTGAGACTGAAACTTGGGACACCAACTGCTGGAAAGCAGCTGAGGAGAGGAGACTACATGGGCAAATTCCTGTTTGCCACTCACGTTAGTAAGTCCATGTTGTCATGTTGTTATTTTTTTTAAGTGTGGGTTCTAGCGTAATTAACGTTTAGTTATTGAGTACGTGGAGAGAGAGATCTGAAGCTGCAGCTGCTCAGCACTACGGGCTGTCAGGAGAAAATTGGGTCCTTTTGATCTGATGTCGAAGCACAGGATTTGTCAAACTGAGTTTGCCTTCTCCTTGGTTCTCGGGGCATTTGGAGAGCTCGTGGGGAATCTTGCTCGCAAGATCAGAGGGGGTGGATGGAACCCAGGAGGGATGGGTCTCCTTAGGCGAGGATGATGGGCAGGAAGTTTGCTGTAGGTTTTATCACAGAAATGTCCCAAATCCATTTTCTTCCCTCTGTGCAGCAGCATCTGAGTTTCATAGGCCTTTTATCTGTTGTGTAAGATATGAGCTAACAATCTGTATACAAATGAGATAGCTTTAATTATTACAAATGAGTTAAATGATCTTGTTTACATATCTATAAGTTGTGTCCCTAGCACTCAAAGTATTTAGTCTTTCTAAGTACAGTTAACATTCTCCTTTTGTGTAGACATAGCTGCATAGATTTGATTTTTGTTTTTAAAAGCCCTCTGAATGCGAGTTTTCTTTTGAATTCACAAGATAGAAGCCGCAGAGTTGGAACGGAACTTTTGAAGAGCTTGATAGATTAAGTGCTAAATTCACTAACTGTTTAACAAGGATAGAGATAAATGCTAGTATTGGTCAGCAAAGCTGACCTCGATGACTTGATGTCTGTGATGCACATTCACAAATTGGATTTCTACTGTTAAAGTCACAAGCAGGTGACCTTTAGATGAGATGGACCCACAGGTTTAAGTGTGTTCCTGTCCAAGATCTGCACCTTCAGAAGGAGCTGGGGCTGCTGTCACTGTCTGCAATTACATGCACTTGGGAAACACAGACCTGAAAAGATCTTATCTGGGATGGGTGGGTTCCAGTCAGTGCAAGATTAAGAGCTGTTGGGTTAAAACCTGTCTACAGTGATGTTCTGCCAGGGAATGCCATTTATGCTTAGCTGAAAGAGATCGTTACCATCTTGCTTGTTAGCTAGTAATTTCTCCTGGAAGAGAACAGATGCGGACAGCATGGTGCAGGGATCCAGGAGTGAGAGCCCAGCACTGCTGGGAATAGAAAACAGAATCAATCCTGTGCTGCCAAGGAGCAAAAGGAGTTTCAAGGAGAGCAGAAGGAGGTGTCTGTGTCTGGCTATGTGCTTGATGATGTGTTTCAGAGATTCGTGGCATTGAGGCCTGATACTGGAAGGCCATGATTCCTGGGACAGGGATTTCTGAGTGAAGGATGTTGTGCTGTAGACAGATTATTGCCAACACATGCTGGACTGTGGATTAAAACAGTTAAGTGGCTTTGAATAGGGAGTCTGCTGCGTTGGTGCCCTGTTCTCATTTGCTCTTGGCCATAGCACTGGCTTCTGTTCCAGGGTAGGGGAACCTGTGTAATTGCCTTTAAGCAGCAGTGGGTGAAATCCCTTTGGTCTGGTCATCTGTATTCCGCCCTGCACTACTCCTCTTTTTCTATTTGTGCCTCCTGCAGTGGATTCCTGGCCACAGGAATCACAAAACACTCAAATGCTGGAGCCAGAGTGCTCCAAACTGGCCTTGGCATGGGCAGGAGGCATCCAGCCAAGAAGCAGCAAGGTGGGAAGCAGTACAAGGAGGATTCCCTGGGAGCGATGACGGCCTCTGCGGGAAACCTGCGGTTAGAGGGAGCATCTGCACCCTGTACAACAAACTGCAGGTGTCAGTGACATCCGCGTGCTGCCGCGTGCCCCAGTTGTGCCCTTGGCTGTGGAGGTTGACATGTTCATGGGAGTGCGTTCTCATTGCTGGTACTTGGCGTATCGTGGTTGTGTCCTGACTTGTCCTGAGCCAGTACAAGGCTGTCCTTTCTGCAGGAGGAAGGTATGAGCACTAGACCCCGGCTCCTGGCCTGTGCTTTTTACCATTTCTTTCTCTCCTTTCTCCTCTCCGCTGCGGCCATTTCTATTCCCTCAATGCCATCAGTCAAAGTGCAGAAGAGCGACCATCACCATTGCTGGGACCCCTGTGTCAACTACTGTCACACCCACCACCCCGGCCACTGCAAGACGCCCACTTGGAACCAGCCAGCCAGCCAGGATTACTGCAAATGTAACCCCCAGCGCGCGTCCCTGCGTGTGTTCCCTTCTGTCGTGCCCTCCATCCCCTTAGCGACCCAACCTGCAGCACCAGCTCTGTAGCCAAGGGTCCCTCGTGTCTTCTCCTGCAACCTGAGCTGGTTTCTGAAGGTCCTGTGCTGAGCTGATTTGTACCAAATCGGTAGATGCAGCTCAGCACACACAGCTAGGAACCACACTTGGAGCTGTGTGCTGAGCCAAGCCGTGTCCATCCCCAACCCCATTAGTGCCCCATTGTGTGGACGGGGCAAAAATGAGTTGTTACAGGATGAAAAGTACAGCTGTGTAAAATTGGGAATGTAAAAAACTATATAAAAGAAGGGAACAGGAATGTGGTATATCACTGCATGCAGCCCAGCACTGGCACTGTGTGACATGTTAAAAGCAGGGCTGTGGCTGCTGCAACAGGGTCTGCTTCCCCCTAATAATAATAAATTATTAATAATAATATAATGCCTTGGGGTCTGTTTCCCTGTGGTTCTGCCATGTTTCTCTGTGTGTCCTGCAACATGTTCTCTGTTTCCACAGCCCTGGTTGCTGCCAACTTCTCGTCTCCCACCATGAACGCGCAAGGCTTCCCCTGCCAAAACTCCAACACGCTACCTCGCAGCTCGCACCCCATGAGCCCCCGCACCACCATGCTGAGGAGGAGACAGAAGAAGAAGGAGCACAAGAGCTCGTGTAAGAGCGGCGATGGGCTGGGGTGCCTGGGAGGGGTGCAGTGCTTGCCTTGCTCTCCTAGTTGCCCTTGGCTGGGTGCCCGGGGTGGGCGGGTAGGGCTGTTCATCCCAATCCTCTCGGTGCCTCCCTCTTCTTTTCTCACTGTTGCACCACAGCTACGCCAAGGTCTGTGACCAGACCTGTATGTTGACTTAGTGCCTTGATGCCAGCGCAGTCTCTTTCCTACACATGTGCTTCCAAGATGAAGGAAGATGCAACAGGTTTAGCTTCTCTCCCTTTAATTTTTCCTTTTTATTTATTTTTTTTTCTACCTTCCTACCCTGGCTTTTGCTTTACAGCATTATCAGTCTTCTCCATCCCTCCTCTCTGCATGTGTGGGCCTTGTTCTTCCTCAGCCTTGGGAGTCCATCCCTACTGCCCTCTTCTCCTGCACAGCACAACAAGTGCTGGCACTTCCACCTTGCCTCCTGCTGGTGACCCTGCAAGGAGCCTTGGCCATCCCCAGGGATGCCTGCAGCCACCCGCCGAGGTCCGTGGCGACCCTGACCTTCTGCCTCTCTCCTCCTTTCAGTGTCGCTGGCTTCTAGCACAGTGGGTCCTGGCGGGCAGATTGTCCACACGGAAACGACAGAGGTGGTTCTCAGGGGAGACCCTTTGAATGGCTTTGGACTTCAGCTCCAGGGAGGCATCTTTGCTACTGAAACCCTGTCTTCCCCACCCCTCGTCCGTTTTATTGAGCCCGACAGCCCGGCAGAGAGGTTAGAGACCTTGCCCTTGGATGCTGATGGTGCTGCTGATGAACATTTCATGGTTTGGTTTGTTTTCTCTCCTCAGAGGCTCATTTAGATATTTACTATCATCCTTGTAATATCTCCCATTCTTCACTGGGCATGGTTTACTGTCACTGCCATTTCTGCACTCGTCGGCTGACCACGGCCTCCCTCGTATCCCAGGTGAACGTCTTGGCACCAGGCTGTGGCTGTTCTGGGAGGAGGAGGAAGGGAGCGTGTGTCTGTGTGTATGAGAGAGAGCCATTCCCATTTTCTTTTCTATGAAAGATAAAGCTTTTGTTGCGATGTAGAATTGGGAAAAACATAAACATGAGGGCCCAGGGAAGTGTTTCCTGCCCAGTTCCTTTGCAGCAGAGCCCAGCTGCACATGCAGGCCTGAAAGCCAATCTCAACCCCCTGAAGAAGATGCTGGTGGTTCAGAGCGGGGCAATGTTGCATTTAAGCAGCTCCTGCTTTCAGCTCCACAAGCCCTGTGCAAAGAGCAGACAGGGGAGCAGTGCTAATACCTGTAGCTGTCTGTCCTGACCCTCCCTGCAGGGCAGCGAGCCTGTCCCTGATGCTTCTGGGCTTGCAAGTGCCCAACGTTCCTCTCAGCTCTTGCCTTCTGATCTGTGTAAAAAGGCACTTTAACCATTAGCCAAGTTTTATGTGCCTGGGATCTCCTGGCTGTAGTGTAATCAGGATAATATCTCAACCAGCCACAAAGCTAGTTTGGGACCTGGGAGCAAGAGCCTCCCTGGCAGCTGCCCGGCCTCAGCTCGGCTCAGCTAAACTGCTTCCTGCGCCTTTGCTAGCTGCAGTCCACATCTGCTTGGGTGCCTCTGTGCCACCACGGTGCAGATGCCTCCACCAGGGGTAGTACTGAACAGAGCAGATCCCAGGGCAGCTTTAGCTCTTGTTGGGTAAAAAGGACAGCTGATTGCTCTAGGCAGATGGAATAGGGAGGAGTAAACACTCCTGCTGAATGAGCTGCAGTAGCTCCAAAGCCAGCTGCTTTGGCAGGTTTCCCTTCCTGTCTCTGATCTATCCTGATGATCTGTCCTGTGTGGTGGTGTCTGAGGTGCTAGACTCCTGTTCCCACCTTCCTTGGAAGGAGACGTGTGCGCGGGCCTTGTCAGCCTGCTCATGGTTTGGCATCCCCACTCCAGATTGGGAAAATAAAGTACAGAGCAAACCTGCCAGGGAATCGGGAATGGTGTTTTCATGTGACAGGGAAAGCACTTGCATGGGAAAATGCCAGTCCTTGCTGCATGGTAGCACCTAGGGCAGCAGACACGGTGGTGGAAGAGGGTGAGTGAGGGGTGCAGGGGTCTGTGAGGGCAGGTGGCAGGATGGGCACAAGGGACTGGCACAGGGCAGAGGGAGTGGATGGTGCAGTTTAAGAGGGATTCTGAAGAGCTTTTGTGCCATTTTTTGTTTGTTTCCAAGCAGGATTTCAAAGTAAAGGTGGTGGGTTTTGCTTTCATTTTATTTTTTAATCCTCTATTACCAGGGTGAAGCTTTTGGTTGCAAAGCACCAAAGCCCTTTTAGAAATCAGGCGGTGACACAGCCTGCTGTGCCGGGAGAGGGGAGGCGTGCGGAAATCCGCCTGGCTTTTCTTTAGCCTCTTGCCAAGCCTGGAGCAGCAGCAAAGCCCCTCGGTGCGGGCTTGCCTGGCCCTAACGTGTCTCTCACACTGTGCATCCCCTCAGCTGCCCACCCAGCAGCATTCACGCGCTCCTCTCTGCTTTATTCTGCTTTCTCCTGGTGGGGAACATTTGCAGCATGGATTTGATTTGGGGATTAAGATCTCTGCAGTGTATTTCTGCCTTTCTTAGCCTGGGCTCCTCTCCCTGGCAGTAAAGCTGGTGGTAAAACATTGCTTTCCTCCCAGGCTTGAAGTGACAAATGTGGTAGGTTTGCAGTGAGGTGGAAAAGACAGTTTTAAGTTTTCACTTCACTTTTTGTTTCTCGCTGTCATGCAGAGCTCATTTGCTCTGTCCTTGCTAGGTACCTTATTTCCTATCCTTGGCAGGATTTGTTGTAACTTCAACTCCAGACATCAGAGTCATTTTTGTCCTGTTTGCAGGGCCAGGTGCTCAGCTGGGACAGGGCTACGGTGTCTCTTGTGCCTCAGTTGTTGCCGTTTGCCAAAGTGGATGAGCTGTGGGGAAAGAGGGGCTGGGCATCCTGTGTGCTCACACACTTATGCAAGAGAATCTACATTTGCAGCTGCACGGGGCATGGTCCACAATTGCTTTGTGCAATTATTGCCCTAGAAGAGCTGTCTTTTGGATGGATTAATAATCCAGGAGGGCCTGGGACCAAACAGAGTGATTTTCCCAGCAAAGAGTAGGTACGAACGGGAGGCAATAGGGTGAAAATAACATCAGTTCCTCCATACAGTGTTTTAATGATCTCCAGCTGATGCACATTGTGCAGCATGGGGCTGCTCGAGGACTTGCTGCATCCCTCGCAGAGCAGCCCTCCCTCTGTTGCTGGTACGGGGCCATCTCCAGCCCACCATGGAGCTCCAGCACCGCACGCCTGCCGTGTCCGAGGAGCCCAAGCCAAAAGCAGGGGACAGGCAGATCCACCCTGGCCACCTCCAAGTGCTTGTGTCCCAGGTCAGCTCGTGGCAGCACTGCTGGTTTCTGGAGCTGCACTGATTTCCAGTTAGTGCAAGGAGGAGATTAGTGTCTCCATCGCTCTGAGGAAGCTGCACTGCCTCGTGTTTAGTGGCTGTGTTGGCTTGCGACAGGCAGGCTCGGGCAACAGCTCTCGTTTTCCCAACCTGTGATTTGTTTTACAGGAAAATGACTTCTAAAAGACCTCCTTCCCCATCCTGTGTTGTGTTTGCTGAGTGCAAGATGAAGCCTTTGGGCTCAAAATGAGACAGTGATTCAGCCCCTGTATCAGCCATGAGGGTGGCGCAAGATGCCTGAAGTCCTCTCTTAGGTGACTTGCAACATAAACAGCTTTTCCATAAATTTGTGTCTTCCTGCCCCAGTTGTCAATCACAGCAATGGTGGTGCATCTTGCTTTTCTGTCCAGGTATCCAAAATCAATGCTGTCTACTGCATTACATGTTTTTTTCACTCTGCTCAGAGTTGCTTGATCATTGTGTTCCTGGCTTTTTGGTACGAAGAGCTTGCAAGAGGGAAGTTAGGCACCTGGGCAAAACTGCCAGCAAAGCTCTGAGCTTTTCAGGATGTGACCTGCCCAGAGAGGCACAGATACAGATGTGCACACACACAGATGTGCACACACAGATGTGCACACACAGCCTGCACTCACTAACTCGAGGGCCTGCTAGCGCATCAGTTTCTGAAGCCAGTGATGTGGTCACAGTCATAGCTGCTGCCCCACAGCTGCGGTGACCAGGCAGAAGTTTAATGAGACCTAAGTGAGATCTTCAGTGCTTTCAAGTCTTCCAAAGCTTGAACTTGTACCTCTCTGTGTCTGGCAAGACACTTTAGCTGCTTCACTGCCATCTCTGAGACCAGGGGAATACATCATGACAAAATGCCAGTGTCTGAAGTACAGGATAGACCTTCCAGTCCTGAACTCAAACACATCCATAGGGTTGACTTGCACTCCATGAGGTGCTTGTGTTCTTGTTATTTCTGATTTGAAATCGCTTGTTCTCCAGTAATCTCAGAGGTCCTTCAGCAATCTCAGAGTGCTTTATGAGCTCAAATGTTAGACTGTGTATCTGAAAGACATGTCTCTTTGGGGAAGTCATTTGGAAAGTTTGTGTAGTTCCCACAGCAAGGCCAGAGAAAGGACAGCAAGAACCCTGGCTGTGAGGTTACTGCTTTCAACACAAAGGCACATGATGTTATGAGACTGATTTCCATGAAGTTATTCTGAAGAGTTAACAAGACACGTTCGGTCTCCTGAGCCTCCCTGAGGGAACCAGGCATTTGTGGCTTCACTCCACACCCCTTTTTGTAAGTGTACAAGGCCAGAGCTTAAGCAACCACGATCAACTGAGACTAGTATATAAACAAATAAAATACTTTTGACCTAACAAAACTGTTAGCTGTAAAACATCCTCGAATTATGAAGGAATACAAGCAATTGTTGTTCTACAAGAAAGCAGCTCTGGTGGGAAAGGTGGCAGTGGTATGCTCTGATCTTGTGTAAAAGTAATGTGTGTTCCCCCAGCCCCTGAGGCCAAAACGGTGGTGTCAAAACAGGTCAAGTCCTTGTGTGACTTTGAAATGATGAAGTGATGCCTGTGGTCTGCAGATATTAGTCCCTTCTTTCTGAAAGAGGCATCGTGGCTGCAGCAAAAGAGATCTAGGGGTGCAGGAGATGTCTCTGCCATAGACCTCATGGTCTTCATGCCTATAAGCTGAAATTTTCTAATGTATATATGTGTCTGTATATCTACAAGTCCAGGAAAAGACTGTAATTAAACTTCCTGTAATCGGCAGCATTTATTCACTAGAGCAAATTCATTTATACTCCCTGGAGTATGAATGTGTCTGCTCTAATCCAAATCTCCTTAAACAAACACTTCAGAATTTACATCTCATGAGATAGCCAGCACTTTTCCATGGATGGCATGAACTTGGGCATGAACTCAGCAACGTAAAGATATCACAAGAATATTCCTCCCTACCAGTAAAACAGTGTCTGTAGGCAGTCTCCAAACTGGCTCATATCTCAGCTTTAGATGGGCTACGGGTACAGCTGTTCATTGTGCTTGTTCATTTTTCTTGAATTTTGTTGTGTGTTTTGTATTGATAACCTGACCTTTCATTTATATCTCTTTGTTTGGAGGTGAGTAATACACCCACTATCCATTGCCTTTGATGGTATCTTTATGTGACCAGAAGCCATGGTACCATCTTTTCTTACAATTGAATCCTGTGTGAATGCTTAAGAGTGGTTGGAATGATTCCTGAAAATAAAAAAATAAATAAAACATAACTTGTCTTCCATGAGATGTCAGTGGAAGCTGACATCTAAAAGAGGGCAGGCAAAGGAAGTACTTGATCATTAAGCAGAAGCAAAATAAAGATTCTTTGGAGAAGGCTCCGTGCCTTGTGGGGAGCCTTGGTAGTAAAACAACTCCAAAACTAGAGGTGGACCTTAGGCTTCTTCCCTTATCCCTGAGTTGTTTTGGAGAGCTGTCTGTAGCCTGCATTAATGGTGGAGGAACAACAGTTCTGTAAGTTCTACTCAAATGAAGGGCCTTATAGACAGGTACTGAGTGGAGAACCTAGAAAGATGGGGCTGTAGCCAACAACTGATGGAGTGTGTAGAAGGAAAGGGAAAAGCTAAGTATTCATGGCCCCATTGCCAGTCAAGGGCAACACTCTCGCTTTGGAGACAGCTCAGATTAGCTGTGGAAAGTAATGTGGAGGATCATCTTGGTAGGTTTATACTAGGTCATTTGTATGTTTGTTTTGAAGAGAGGAGAAGTGGTCAGTGAAAAAGCTCTGCTTGTAAATAGAGGAGTCTCGAGACATAAACTGTGCTGCACATCTCCAGCATTGCTTTGCAATCAGCGTTTTTCTTCCGTAGTGAAAAAAATGCTGATTTGTGCTCTTGGAGAACAAGAGTCTGAACCAAAAAGCTCAAAGTGCTGGTGGCAGTTATATTGGCAGACTATCACATCGGAATAATATTGGCCTTTCAAGGCAGTTAAACAGTATCAATGTACATTTGGCTTCCAGAAATGCAATTACAAGGGATAAATGATTATCCAATTTACTGAGACATTTCAGTGAGTTCATTGGATTGCAGCTTCAGTATTAGCCATGTATTAAACAGAGGACTCTGTGCAATTTTCAGTGCCATTAGTTTGGCTTCCAGCGGGCTCAGACGTGCAAAAAGAGTTGTGTACCATTAGATCCGGTCGCAGGGCACACGCCCCTGCATTTATCACTTTCATTTCATGGCCATGGTGTTGACTTTTAAGAGAGGGAGGGTTTGGTTTATTTTCTTGGAAGTTGCATTAAGTATGACAAAAAAAATGATTGTTAGGTGCCCAGTGTATCTGAACTTGAAGCAAACCATGTGGCTTTGTGGTCTTCCACAGGCTGTTTGCACTGGGGCCAGGCATTGCAGAATGTGTTGTCATCTCTTTGGGGCCACTTTCGTCAGGGTTTGTCACCACTCTGTGTGTCGTGTAATAATTTGCCTGGCAAAAGTAACTCACAATTGGTTCTGGGTTTTTTTCTCTCCTCCTCTCCTCTCTTGCCTCCTCATCCCCTATCCCTTTTTTTCCAATCTGAACTGCAGATGTGGGCTACTACAAGTAGGAGATAGAGTCCTTTCTATCAACGGCATCGCAACTGAAGATGGGACCATGGAGGAAGCCAACCAGCTTTTGCGTGATGCTGCACTCACTAACAAAGTGGTGCTTGAAATTGAATTTGATGTTGCAGGTAAGTTATCAAAAGATTTGTGCTCCTCTTCACCAGCTGGACAACCTGAGTGATTTTACTCACCTATAGGAGGCCGTATGTGCACATGAGTACATGAGGTCTTTGATAGATCTTGGGGGGAAAGATGAGAAGACTCTGTCAGAAGATCCTTTCCATTTCTTCTTGTTTTCTGATGTGCTCTGAGATAGAGCTTTCATAAATTGCTTATTATCTGTCACCACATTATCTAAACTAAGCCTATTGGATAGGTGAAGAAGCCACCTACTCTTCAAATACATTTCATTAATAAAAATAATATTTGTATTAATTTATGGCCTTGAAACAAGGATGGAGCTGAAACTACTGGCTGATGCTAAAGTACAGCTTTGTAAAAAGTGAGGTTTTCGTGGACATATCTTTTTTGGTTCCACAGAAGCTATTGATGTAACTGACGACTTTTTTCTCTCTCTTTTTTTTTTTTTTTTTTTTGTCTACTTTTGATTTGCAGAGTCCGTCATACCCAGCAGTGGTACTTTCCACGTTAAATTGCCCAAGAAAAGAGGTGTGGAGCTTGGAATTACAATCAGCTGTAAGTGTTGCTCAGACCTTACCTATTGGTTACAACAGCTACAGGTATCTACCCCAGCTCATCAGAGGGTCTAGAAGGGACAAAAGATGATGTGTGACTTCCCCGTAGGTCTTGCAATGCTGATGATTTATTCCAACCAAAATTAGGTGGTTGGTTCCTTCCTCTAAGAAGGGAAGGGAAAAACTGAAGGGAAAATCAGGCACCAGGTGGGTAGGAGAGAAACATGCAACTCCAAAGGGCAACCTAACAGCTGGCATGTGCCACAGATGACAGTATTATTAGCAATATTGTTTTTATTTCCTTGCTCACAGTTACGTTATGTTCCTTTAGAAGGGAATTGCCTGGCTCAGGTGGGACCTGTACAGGTGAAGGAGGCAGAGGGAGGAGAGCAGGTGAGACGTGGTGCCCAACTGGGAGTCTGCCACTCATGTCGAGAGAGGAGAAACTGCCAGGAGAAAAAGGCAGATGGGCCTCTGAGGGCAATTAGGGACCAGGCGTTGGTTGGCACATGATAAAGGCATTGCATTGACTTAATGCAACTGTGGCGTAGGAAGACCTTCCTCCCAGGAGTTGTTGGGCACATAGAAAATCACAAATGAACATTTTCCTTTCTGTAGTGTCTTCTTTCACATCACTCCCTTTTAACTACCTTGATTTCTATTCTGATGCGTATTTTTCATTTGAAAGATCTTTTGGCTATTTTGGAGAGGACACTGCACAGAGACCATCTAGGCATAGTTCTGTCCAACATCGGACCGTGCTAAACCTTACATTTGTGAACTTTTTCTTTATGGCAAATGTGATCTAGTCTCACATCACTTATCCCTCTTTCCCTGCTGGATAAGCCAAGTTGCATTATCTCCAATTTGCCATGCCCAGAGGCAGCTACTGCATCTCAGCTGAAACAAAGCGACCTGTGAAACTGCAGTAATGGGATCTTATGTCTGAGCCTCTAAGAGCATGACCTCAGCTTTGTCTGGGGAATAGAGTCACTAAGGACACGTTAAACCTGGGTTTAATTAATAGAGATAAGCTATTTGCAATTACCTCTTGTTTTCTTTACAGGATTAGTCAATGAGCTAAGTGCAGGGCGTTTTGTCCAAGTAGGGTGATTCTCAAGAATGGTACTGATGCTGATAGGGGGGTGATTTTATACCTTGTGTTCTTTCTTCTCCCTCTCTTCCCAGCTTCTGTTGTTTGTGTTACAATAGTACTCTGAAGAAATAACACAATATTTAACATTTGGCTTAGTAGCAGTTCCAGTTAGTGAAGATATCAAAGCACTTTCTGAACATAGTTGGAATATCAGTAAAAATATTTAAGTAGCAGGCAAGCAGAAGCATGAGGAAACAGCTGGGGCAGAGTTTGCCTTGGGCTCCCCAGCCTGGTCTCCTGCTTCTAGCATTAGCATTAAAACCATAAGGACCAGAGGGTGCTAAATTTGATAGCAAAAACCTGCTGGCTTGAGCATGGCCAAGATTTCATCCCATTTCAAGCATAGTCTTTGTTTGGGGCTGGACCTGAAGGTTACCAGCAAGAGTGCCAGATCTCATTTTTGGAGTCTCACTTAAATTGGGTCTGTTTTGGCAGTGCATTTAAACCTCAATTTTTTTTTTTGTTGAATATATTTTCGTGTGGATTTTGTTTAAAAAATTGTTTTCGCACGTATTTTGGAATCACTGATGAATAAAAAGTGAATGAAAAGTGACCGCCAGTTTTAAAATTGTTAGATAATCATTATCAACTACAAAGCCATATTTTGGCAATATAAAAGATTGGATCTTTTTGATTGCTGTACATGTTTGCAGCACATCATTTAAGTAACGCGTATACATAAACTTAAAATATATTTCAGTCCTGTGCTGGATCAAGGCCAAAACTGCAGCAAAAGACTAGATAGTTGGCTGCTTATTGACCAACCATCCAGAAAACATGGTAGCAAGTATGAAATGCTAATTGAATCCTGATTCTGTCTTCATATATTAGTCCATAGAAGCTATTTCCTTGTGACCCCTAGTGAATTATATCATCATGCTGTCACTCTGCCTCTGACCAAGCAGATAAATACACCAGTCTCAAACATTAGCATCCAAACAGGCAACCTTACAGTAAGTTGCTCCTGCTTAAAGCACTTGTTAGGGCTGTGTATTAATACTTTATATACCATGTTTGTAGAATTACCCACATATATCTAAAAAAATCAATCCCTGTGCCCTCGGTGTGAAGCGCTGCAGATAAGGAGTAGCTATTATAACTGCCTGTGGGTGATAAAAGCAGCGTTTGGGTACATAGATAACTTTGATTAGGTGATTGAAGGAGGGGAATCACTGTCCCTACAAGGAGATGGATCTGTGAGCAGAGCAGATGTAGCCTGTGGGCGCTGGGCAGAGCGGAGCCCGGGGAGCAGCGGGTCCCCCTTTCCCCCTCTCTGCACTTAATTCTTCAAGTGAGATGCACAACTTTTCTGCTAAGATGCTTTTATGGAAGTAAGAGATTCTGTCCAGGCTTTGCTACCTGGAGTTTTTGAAAGGAAATATGCCCATAGTGCTGTAAAACGTCCTGCTTGCTGCAAGCCCTGATAATTTATGTGCCTGCTGCTAAAACCAATAAATGACACAGGCCAAAGTTGAGTGGAAGGGATTTGATTTTCATTGCTGCCTTATTTTAATTGATTCAGATTTTCTTTATTCCTTTTCCCATTGCTTAGCGATCCTGAAATATAGAGTTTGAAATTATTTGAGATTTTGGGGTTTTTTTCCTCACTTTTATAAATGTTTGCTTTCATAAATGTATTCTTATGACATTATCACAATTTGTTCAATTGTACATTGGCAGAATGCAGCTTCAACTTGATCAATAACGGAGGACATTTATAACTGGTAGAAGCATTGAGGCATTGAGTTATGGGCTGCTGCTCCTTGGAGGGGAATAACTTACCAATAGGAGTCATTATGCATTCCATTAAAAACACAAAATGGACATGTGTTTCTGCCTTCCTCATCCATCTTAGAGTAAATGCCAAGTGAGCCAGAACCCCAGCAGAGGTGGTGAGAGACAGAAAGCAATTTATAAAAAGTAAATAACAGTATTGATCAATTTGCCTCTTTATCGCTGCCCTGTCACTGCTGTGGAACAGTGTTTTCATTTGGAGTTTCTCCCATGCTTGCAGCTTCACCAACTTTGGTTTGTGAAGCTTTTCCTAGTCACTGGTGCAGATTTAAACCATCTTCTGGGCTCCTAAACGTGCCAAAAATATAAATCCATCTGAGAAAGGACCTACTTCCACAAAAAGTGATTTGCCTTGTGCTGCCCTCCCGGGAATGGGGAAGGCAGAGATGTCAATAAGAGGAAGTGTTTATTCCTTTGCTGTCGGACTTTCTGGGGCACTCTCTGACTCCTCTTCAGGTCGGTGGGCTCGTGTGCGATTGATGCCATGTACTTCCCAGATATTAATATATAACCTGACCCGCGCTGGATGTGTTCAGACACTTGCTAGTTTGTTCCTTCCCAAGTGGATTTTGTTAGGAAGCACCGTCAGCTTAAAGTGAGATGATGCAGCTCCCGTGGCGAGGCCGGAGGAGGGAGGCAGGGTGCCAAGGATGCTCCCAGCGCGTGTTTGGCATGTGGATGGCAGAGAGGGCATGGGGGGGTCGAGACATAAACCCCTCTTGGGTTTGTCAAGAGAGCAGCAGGTCGTAGAGGCAAATTTAAAAATGCAGATGCGCCAGGAGAGGAATACTTGGATCTGGCTGTAAAGCTGGGAGAGGAGAACAGGGCTGGAAACCTTCAGCCCCTGATGCTGTGATTTATGTGGTTGCATGAGCTAGTGGCCTGGGGAACTGGACCAAGAGGAAAAAGCCACTGTGGATTTTACCATGGGTTATTTTTCACCTGGAAAATTTTCAAACCCACTTTACTGCAAGACCATGGGGAGGCCCAGCACTGAGAGCTGGTATTCCCTAGGCAGCAATACTGCGGGATGGCCAATTAATTGCTATAGACTTGCTCTCTGCCTCTAGTTAGAGATATGAGGGAAGGCTATTTAGCAGTGCTGGGATGAGGAAACCCTGTCTCTTGTTGGTCATAATGTGGCTTCCCCTTGCTCAGGAGGAGACCAAAGAAAATGGTAACCAACAGAAATCTGCAGAGATTTGTTTCTTCCCACCTTGGTGTGGCTTCCAGGGAAGCCACTGTAAGCATTGTTTTGCCAAAGGAACATAAATTCTCCTTTCTTTAACTCCTTTTCCCCATTGACTGTCTCCTTCCTAGGTTACAGACTCAAGTATCTGTCTGTATCTTTTGCAGCAGCAAGCAGAAAGCCAGGGGAGCCTTTGATTATCTCTGACATTAAGAAGGGCAGCGTCGCACATAGGTGAGTGCAGGATTTTCTGTTTGTCAAACCCAATGCAAAATACCCAGCCCAGTAACAAGAATAGAAAGAAGTCCAAGCCACAGCGACAGGGTCTGGGTTTTGCCAGTAGCTAAGGAAATGCTACTGGCCAAGGAGATTTGTCTCAAACTGCAGTAGGGTTTGGGATAAAAACTGTCAGTATTGAGGTAAGCAAAGCTGAGCTAGTAGAGAAGGTGGCCGGGGCACCATTTGAGAGATGCTGCTCCTATAGGAGAGGGTCTATATCCCACTCACCAGTTCATTTAGGAACGTGATGAATGGTGCTGTGGCCCATCAGGTAGTTTGCTGCATCTGAGCTTCTGCCTGGGGTCACCGAGCAAGTGCACTGGTGGAGAGCAGTGCAAATAACTGAGCCCTTTCTAACTGTACCCCTGATCCCAGTGCCTTGGGAGCAAGGACTTCAGGACAATGTAGTGATGATGGAGGGCTGCTTGTGCAGGAGCTTGCAGAAAAGGTAGAATATGTGTCTTGAGTGCTATATGCTACCCAGGCTGTATATCCAAATAGGTAAGGATGGTAAACTAAATTTCCTGCCTCATTCTGAGTCGACGCACGCTCCACGCAACCATCCTTCCTTTAAGTTGCAATTGCCCCCAGCTTAGTGGTTGTTTCCCTGAAAAGAGTAGGAGTTTACTCCAGGAGTGTAAAAAGCTGCTATCATCATCTCCCCTGCAGAACTGAATGCATTGCAAGATCTGAAAGGCTAATACAAATGTACTTTTAGTTTTCTTTTCCTTTCCACATAGAACTGGCACACTGGAGCCGGGAGACAAGCTGTTAGCCATTGATAACGTCCGACTCGACAATTGCTCCATGGAGGATGCTGTGCAGATTTTAAGGCAGTGTGAAGACCTGGTCAAATTGAAGATTAGGAAGGATGAAGATAACTCCGGTATAGCAATCCTGATGCAAACTGGTGCCTGTCCACTTTAATGGCATTTCCCAATAGGTAGTGCAAACCAACAAAGATAAGGGCTACAGCCTGTCTGGTCACCACTTTCCAATTGATTGTAGTTTATTTTTGTTACGCCGCTCTTAAATGGAGCCTGGAAGGTTAAAATCCTCACCTGTCAGAGCACAACCAAAGACTGCAGGCTTTGGCTTCTAAATGCTCTAAGTCTTTCCTGTGACCTATTTCATATATCAATTTTAAAAATTCGGTATTGCTCCTTTCTCGTGCAGATGAGCAGGAAACGACCGGTGCCATTATCTACACGGTGGAGCTGAAGCGGTATGGTGGTCCCTTAGGAATAACCATCTCTGGGACAGAGGAGCCTTTCGATCCCATCGTCATTTCGGGATTGACCAAGCGTGGGCTGGCAGAAAGGTAAGGTTTAGGGGGCAGAAGAATTTATTGACACGTGTTGACTGTGTGATGGTGTGTCTGAATGGATGCACATGTGTGGGCTTTAAAGGATCTGGACATTGCTCAGGATATAAGATGGAATGCAGTCATATGCTGTGTCTTAATTTATCCATACCATAGCTGTGGCTTGTAAATAGATGTTTTCATCAGCCCTGAGCCACTCTTCTCATAGGGTTGAATTACTCTCTGATGCTCGGTGGGCAGAATGGCAGCGGAACCTCTGAGCAAGTAGGTATAAAATGCTAGGCCTTGGGTGGGTTTGATTTTAGTTCTGATCCTTTGTTTCTTCCAAATTCTAGGCTAGCCTCCCTCTGAGCTGAGCTGTACAACAAATCAGTGCAGGGTTCAGCATTTGGCTCCTTGGCTTGTAGCACCTGCACTGCTGCACATTTCCATTACTTTTTTTCTTTGTATCCTGAGAAGTAAGAAAGAAGGATGGGCTCAGTCAGCAGTGGATCTTCTTTCTGGGGATTTTGTATCACTGTCCACCACTATATATTCACTTTTTCCTGTAAAATGACAGCTTGGTCCATAAAATATCTGAGACTTTTCTGTGGCAGTTCTGCACTGTATTTGCAGCCCAGTGTGGGAGAGGTTTAAAGATAGGAAGCCCAAATGCTGTCAGGCATCAGAAGACAGTCACATTCCCTCGCTGCTCTCTGAGCCCTTTGCAATGCCATTTGCTGTTCCTCCTTTGAACTCAGCTGCATGTCAACACCTGTTCCTTAGAGAAGCATAGTGCAGGCAAGTGCTGTGGCACTGCTGAATTTTGATCAGTAACTGGTACTAAGTAAGAAATAAAAAGCCTTTTGAGAAGAGCAATGGGATTGTTTAGCACGTTCACCCTAGCAATCGAACAAATAAATGGTGCCTGCCAGCAGAGCAGCTGGGGAGGTCTCCAGGTAACCCTGGCTCCCTGTGCGGAAGGGAAGGAGAGCTGCAGCAAAGTGTGCTTGCAGGAAAGGTTGCATAGTTTCTCTGCTGGAATGGTGTGTGTTTTTCTCCCGGGAGCAGCAGTAAGCAGTGGCTTCCCTTCATCTCGTGAAGGCAAGAGCTGTCCCTATCCTGCCCTCACATGCCCATGCCAGAGACAGTCTTAGCCAGGCTCTGGGGGCGTCCAGGTTTCCTGAGGCTGCAGTTTTAATGCGAGCCTGGTTTTTGCTGCAGCGCAGCACGTGTCTGGGCAGTGGCCGTGGTGAAACGGGGCAAACCGGGTCCTGGCTCTGCTGAGGGGGACGCCCTGCCTGCACGGCAGCTCGTGCTGCTCTCCCGGGAATGAGGGAGGCAGAGTGTCCTCCAGGACCTGTCACACGTCTGTCACAGCGGGTGACAGATCGTTGGAGATGAAAAGGCTGCAGATTCAGATCACTTGGGTTTTATCTTGACCTTGAGCATTTCTCTTCCTGTACGTGTCTGATCCTATAGAAAGCTCCAGAGGCAGCTCAGGATGGTGGGGTTGCTGTCAAGCAGCAGAGTTAGTCACCCTGTCACCCCTCCTGCGGTGCCTGGGGGGGTGACTTGGGCGTGGGCCATGGTATTTGTTTTCCTTCTTCCCTGAACATATATGCTCAGGATAGAGATGAATACAGTTAGAGTTTGATTGTGTAGAGTAATTTGGGATTATCACTGATATGTGAAAGTGTCTTTATGGGTTTGACCAGCCTCCTCTGATACCAACTGGTGAAGCAGGCAGGGGTGGCTGCAGAAGGGCTTTGTATGGCTGCAGAAGGAAGGATCCAGAAGTCCTCATCACCAACATATGTTAGCAAAGGGGGCTGGGATGTGCCCCCCACCCGCACGGAGTAAATCCATACCATATGGGTGGCCAGTTCTGCTCTATCCCACCTGGAGAGCGACTGACGTGGGGCTCACGCACCTCGCAGCTTACCCCACACTCCATTCTGCTATGCACAAAGGTCCGTAGAGCGGCTGGGGTTTGAGGTAAATAAGGATTAGCTGTGATGAACAGAGAGATATGAGGGTTGTTACAGTGAAAACTGTTTCTGACCAACTCCTGCTCAGCTTCTCTCTGTTGTCCAGGGAGAGGCACCTGGGAGATCAAGGAGGAGACCTGCTTTGGTGGGCCTGGGTTTCTGTTTTCCTTTTTGCTCTTGAAGAAAATTCTTACCTAGATGTGACCTTTCTCATTAATTGCTTTTGTATTTCCTCCTGCTGAGGGAGTTTCACAGTTTCTGCGCAGTGGTTGCACCACTGGGCCAGGTCAGGCTGCTGTTGAGGATACAGGAGGTGGGTTTCCATGAAAGATCAGTGACTGCCTCCATTGCCATGAGAGAGGTCTTCAAGTGTTAAACCACTACAGCAAGCAAAGTATGACCTTAGTGTGCTGGTGGTTAAGAATTGTTTTTGTCTGTGTAGATGAAACTTTTAAGACAAATCCTCTAGTTCGGGTTTGATCTGCAGTTTATTTGAACTGGGCAAGTTTTCCTCAAGGGCTTTCTCCATGTGCTTTGGGTGGTACAAGACGGACATCTAGCGGCTGGCTGGGACCATCATGACCTGCTCTCCAGACATCTCAATGGGAAGAGGCTAAACAGCTCTGTCTGCTCTTTGGCTACATTTCTTGGTGGCACCCTTGCAGTCTTTACTTGGGCCTCCCTGAAACAGTCCCATGTTTGGGGGAAAGCTGTTTTGCCTGCAACAGGATGTGAAATCCCATTCCTGCAGGAGCAGCAATCCACTATTCTCTCCTACTGGCCTAAATGTAACCTTGGAGAGTTGCACACTGCTGTGAACATGAAACAAAAGGCTGTGAACAAAAGGACAAGACAGTCCAGATTTGTGGCTCCTCCTGACTCAGTCATCAGAGGTTCCTGTTAGCTGAACGTCATAGCACTGCTGCAGAAAGGGAGAATTGCTGCTCTCACTTGGTGTCATTAGGGAGCTGTAGCATCACTGCAGTGATCAGAGCCTGGCAAGCAGCGAGAGCTACGTCGCTTCGGAGCTGGTGATGGATATGTGCTGCACTAGCTGCTCTACAGGAGCTGCCAGCCAGAAAGCCAAGCTTTGGCACAGGTGAAGTGTCTGGGTAGACGCAGAAGCAAAAGATGGAGGAACAGAGTGAGAATTGGCGTGATTCATTAATTCATTCCTAGCTGTTCCTAAGCCTGAGAATTTATTTATCAGAGGGCAGACATTAGCATTGGAAAAGATGGTGCAACAAAATGCAGTGACCTCTTCTAGTGCTGTGGTCCTCCTTGAGAAAATCACAGTGATTTAGCTGCATAGGGGTGAACTTTAAACACATTATGAGCTGATTTGCAACTGCACGTGCAATCTGTGTTGGACTGAATTTGTTTATGGGTTTCTAGGTTTATCCCTCATTTCTTTCCATCAATACAAAACATGCCCTTCAGCTCCCTGTGTGAAGAAGATCTGTAGACATCACACACAGGGAATGCTTGTTATATAAGCCCCTTTGGTGCTGAAGAGATTTGAAATTAAACTAAGTGTAGCTTGGTCTAAAGTCCCACTCCCCAAAGGTCCTAGGAGCCAAGATGTGCCTATGTTCACACATCTATGTGTGCAGTATTGAAAGACTGGAGGGAAAACAGATTCCTGGTAGTGATGATGAATAAGGGAATCACTGGAAGCCAGTGCCAAGACGAAAGCAAGTCATGAGTCTCAATTCTATTTTAAAGTACTGAGAGTTAATTTGCTACTGCTTGAAGCAGGAACTTAATGGCCTGTCTCACTAAGGCAGATTGCCTTGCTGCGTTTCTAACAACATCTTCCCTCTCTAGAACTGGAGCCATCCATGTCGGTGACCGGATATTAGCTATTAATAACGTGAGCCTCAAGGGCAAGCCGCTGAGCGAAGCAATTCACCTACTGCAAATGGCAGGAGAGACAGTGACGCTGAAGATCAAGAAACAGACTGAAAGTGAGTTCAGGAGCCTGGCTGGGGTGGGAGGACACAAGTCTACCCCACCCGGGACCCCAGGCGGTGGAGAGGGTAGTGCTGTAGTGTCCCCCATGTGCACCGGTGTGTGGGGACCTGGCTGTTGGTGGCAGGTGAGACAAGGCAGTGTGGTTGGGGCAGGGAGGAGAGGCTGGGGACAGTGGGAAAAGAAGGACTTTTCTTTTGGATTTCTGAAACAAAGATGAGAAAAGTAAAAAAATACGCTTTTAAAAGGAGAAGAGTTGTAGATGTTATAATTACAAAACCCCAAAATGAGCAAGAGACCTTTGGGTAAGGAGGGAATCCATTGAAAAATGAAAATGACCTTATCTGAACTTTTGACAGCAATTGGCAATGAATCTTTTATGCCCCCTTTCTACCTCTGAATCCTGAGATCATCTTTCAAAGCAACCTACCATGGCTCTGGAATCCTCCTTCCCCTTTCCCAGCCACGCTCCCTGCAGCCTTGAAGCCATCCCACTTGTCATGGGGATTGTCATGGGGATGTCACTGAAACTTCTTCTAGTATGAAGTTCATAACCGACACTCCAAGTAGGTGCTGCTGACATGGCTCAGGTCCTGTCCCCAAGGGCAGGAGCTCCTTGCCTGAAAGCTCTTCTGATCTGAGTCACCAAAGAGGCCCCCTGAGATCAGAAAGGCCCGCGATGCCTCGCTGCTCTCATTTCTCTAGGATGTTTCTGTAGGATGTTTACAAAGGCGCACAAAGATGAACTTGTGAGTCTGCATTAGGTCCCAGACGTCTCATATTCAGGGATACCCAAATCACACTTATATCCCACGTGTGCTAAAATTCTGAAAGGCAGTTTTCCAGTCTGGTGTGAGGGTAAGAAATGTGTGAAGTGCATTTTACTGTAATACACAGAGCTTTCTCAGTTACATTTGAAGAGCTAAGGAGGTTCTTTGGTAGCCTTGTGTTTGCTCTCGTGTGAACCTTTCCCTGAGGCTTGCTCTTCATGCCTGGTAAAACAGCATGTTGTGGTTTCAGAGCCCTATCCCAAGAAATCCGGGAGTATAAATGAAGTGAGTGACCCAGAAGATGAACTAGCAGACTCCCAGAAAACTAGCAAGCTGTCTGAGATTTACTCTACCACAATTCCTAGTGTGGACAGTGCTATGGAGTCCTGGGATGGCTCCGGCCTTGATGCCAGCTATGGAAGCCAAGGTAAGCCGATGTCCTCCTTTGTTAGACACCTCTGAGCCTATGTGAAGACAGGCAGAACCTCTTGGCCTCTTTGGAGGATGTGTTTGAACTGTGGATTGTGATCTGCCTGCACTTGGATGGCTTCTTGGCTCCAGCAAGGGGAGATGGCCTTCTAAAATGCATTCGTGTGGTGCTCTGTGTTGATGTGTCTGATTTACGTTGTTATCAGTGTGTTCTTCCTTGCTTATGTGGCATCCTGCTGTTCATAGCATTTTCAAAACCATTTACAGCACTTCAAAATTCAGGTAATCAGGAGAAATATTAGCGCACTGTATGTCTCTTCAGGATGTTTCAAAATGTTCAACAAGAATTTCTTTTGACTAGAAGTCATTTAACTCATTTAACAAAATAATTAAGGTAATACTACAAGAAAGACTCTCTCACTCTCCATTGAGAGTTCAGATATACTGTGTGTCTATGAGGCCAGATTTGTTCAGCTGAGACTTCTGCAAGGCTTATGGAATGGGGATAGTGGATGCTCTAGCCCTAAGAATAGATTTGCATTTGCTAGTTCAGATATAGTGACACAAATTAGTCACATGAGCCAGTTGCCCATCTTGAAGCAACCTCTGAAACACCATAAAAAATGGTGAAAAGACTGCTCTCTCCAGAAGAGAAAATAGAGGGAGGTGCTGCAGGGGTGATGTTGCACAGCACGCTCAGTGAGCCCAGCAAAGTGCCTGCCTTGGGGTGCCCTGACTTAGAAACAAAGCACTGTGCTGGGGTCACTTCACAGCACTTGCATCTTACTTAATTTCCTGTTGAAGTCTTAATGCAAATGGGAGTAGAGGCTTCATTAAGGAGAGATCCTGGCCTTCCAAGTGCTGCAGTCTTCCTTCATCTAATTGGATGTCCACAAGTTGGTCACTGGGTTTAGCAGAACGCAGAGCTCTGTGGAGAGGGGTTGATGCTCTGTGGATACGGGGCAATATTGGGCAATATCCCTAAAGGGCAACTTTGCTTTGGGACCTCTCTCATCTTTCCTGGTAGTTGTGTTTTGCTGCACTGTGTGGTGCTGCTGCTGGCTGGAAAGAGGAATTCAGGAGGCATGCTGGTGAAGAAGGGCGAGCTCCGCCGTGCAGGACAGGCAGGATGCAGGGAGAGCTCGTGGGAAGCACAGAGGTTGGGATTTACGCTCCAGATAGGGAGCAATGGATCAGGCACATCCCCCTTGCGCTTTCTAGTTTCATTCCAACCTTTATGCTGGGGGAAGCAGCTTTAGGAAGAGCTTGGGTGAGGATGCCGGGAGGCTCTGGTGGGAACATGCCACCAGGTGGCTCTGAATCCCAAGGATTCCGCAGCAGCCATCCCAGAGAGATGCCTGTGGAGGCAGCACTGGAAGGAGGAGGTTAAATGGATGGCACCCGGCTGTTCAGCTGCACATATGGGCTCCCTAAGGGGCACTCATGGCAAATCTGCTTCCTACCCACTGTAGGGACCTACCTACACGCAGGAACCTTGTTCTCCTGGCGCAGCAACAGCTAATGCTCCTGACGCTTGTAAAGTGTTGGCAGGCATTTTTCTGGGGCTCTCCAGAGCAGTCTAACCTTTAAAAACACAGAGAGGAAACACTCAGCTAAGAGAAATAACAGGCCTTGGCATTTTCAAAGAAAATGCTGGCACTGTCTTGGGTATTTCCAGTGCTCTTAGCTGTTCGGGAGGTCAAATCTCCCTTAATTATGTGTTTCTTCGTTACCTCTTCCTGTTTGCTTGGCACAGCATGTAATGGAAGTGCAGGATGTTTCTTGGAAAGGCTATGAGGATTTCTCCGAAATTTTGAATGGGCAGGAGGACAAGAGCAAGGCGCACAGAAGATTTATTGCCAGTGTGCATGACGCTCGCGTTACTGAGGAGGGTTTGTTTTGGAAGGTGTCTGTCCAGGCAGCTCCTTATGACACCTGGGGATTTTGTGACTTGCAGTAGCATTAGATTTGTGTCCTAGCACTAATACCTCCTGCAGCTTGAAGGTCCTTGAGGACAGAGTGAACCTTCTCTGATCTCATCCTAACGATTTGTACCAGTCTTCTATTGAACACAGTACATAAGAGACTCCCATTTTTTTTTTCAAGCAAGCAGAGTTTTTCCCTCTACTCCTTGCCTTGCACGTGCATTGACACTGCAGCTATTTTCCATACCTGCACCAGAGGATCCTGAAGGCACTGGCCTGTGGGGAGGTCTTTGCCAGCCACAGGGCTTGGCTGGCAGTTCTCGGGATCAGGGCTGGCTCTTTACCATGGCAGTCCCTGTTGCTGCCACCAGTTACACTGAAGCCAATGACTGCCTCTAGATACCCTCAGATGGGACTTCTGTGCTGTTGTCCTCCTGTAGCTTTCCATGGTGCCTGTTAAGTCCAAAGGACTATGTGGAACCAAGATATTTCCTAGAAAAAAAGGTTTTCAAGTGGGTTTGGCTAGGGAGAGGTTTGGCTGCATCTTTCTTTTACCCTAGAAAAGATGCACTGTATCTGAAGGTGGCTGCTTCAATAGTGCAATTTCTGTTTCTAGTTTGGGGTGAAAACTGGAGCTGCTGAGGTCAGAGGCGGCCATTGGGATAAGATATAAGACCTGCATTTATGAATGCAAGTAATCCCAGGATCACAGATTCGTATCACAAAACTGCCCAAAAGGGGAGCAAGGGGACACCGTATGAAAAGCTCCTGAAACACTGAGGTGGTCAAAACAAGCAGAGATGGGAGGAACATCTTTTGGGTTCCCTTTTGAAAGACTGAAGCAGAGGCAATGTGTGATCCAGATGGCCTCAGATTTGGGATTAGGGGAAGGAGACCCTTCTGAATCAGTGTCTGTCTATTCTAACCAGGTAGTTTTCCTTCTTCTTCCCCCTGACTTGCCTTCCCCAGGTACATACGTACCTCAGGCTGCTGGAATAGCCCTTCATCCACATGAGTGGAGACACAGCAGGCAGAAGAACAGCACCCCTCCAGGGGATCCCAGGAAAAGTTATCCCTACATGGATGGCAGTTTCAATGAAGATGACTGGGACAAGCCCACCAGGTATGGAGGGGCTGAAGGAACAGAGAGCTGGGTGGGCACGTTTGTGAGTGTGAAGGTTGCTCGTAATGTTATGGGGTCCAGGGAACACGGATGTGTGATGGAGCAGAACAGTCTGCAGTGGGAAGGGCATGGATTTCCCAGGCTTGTCATCCTGCAGGGGTGAGGAGGGGACCTGGGATGGGACCAGCTCCTCTAGCCAGATTGCCCAGGTTCCTGTGGCACATCTGCCATGCCCAGGCCACCGTCATGTTTGGAGCTGGCTCAGTCTCGGCTGTGGGGAGCGCAGGCTCTTGCACTGCTGCTTTGTAAAAGCCCTAAGTGTATTGATAGTTTAGGTGTAACACGCAGGAACAGACAGGACTGTCCCTCCTTGCCAGATGCTGTTAGATGCAGCTTCACAGCAACTCTATAACCAAAAAAGGCCAAGCAAAGCTCTCGGTGGACCAATAACGTTGGTTATATGTCTGATTTAAAATTGTGGCCGAGTCAACCCACTGCTCCACCAGCACGTGCATGCAGAGGGGCTGCAGCTGCCCTGGGCTTTGGGTGAAAACTCTGCCAGCTCATTCCTGCCACCCAGGCCAGGCAGGTCCCTCGCTGGGTCGTGCACGAGGGAAAGGCCTCCTTGCTTTGTAACGAACCCTATCCTCAACTTTCTCCAGAGTCCCCATAGTTTTGTGTGTCGTGTTGTTACTGTCAGTTTTGTTTTTTTTTTTAATTTTTGTTTGTCCAAACAAACCCCTTAGAACATCTCATGGCCATTTCCACCTATTTAAAGATGATCAAACTGGCAGGAAGGCTGGCAGCAGCTGATAGTTTGTTCTTGTTTTGCCTCTCAGCACGGGCTGGCCTCGCAAAGGTCATTGATCTCGAGCGGCCCTCCCAGGGAGGCTGCCGAGCGCTGAAGTTAGCAGATTTGAGCTCTTGAAGCCCCCGTGTGCCCCTAAGGAGGGCTCTGAACCCTTATGTCAAAGTGCAAGTGAAATGGTTCGTGCCACTGAACCCTTTTTATTAGAGAGAAAAACAAAATGCAGCTAGTGCCAGCTGCTTTTTAGCCTGGAAAAACCTGCTGACTTAGTGGTGTGACAGCCTGTACCGGTTCATCCGAGTCCTGGACGTGTTTGTTATATTACTGATCTGAGAGGCAAGAAGCCCTTAACTGGAAGGAAGGTTTGCCTTTTTGGAAACCTGAGAGCTGAGGAAGGAAATGAGTAAGGGGAGAGAATCAAAAGTCCCTTTTGGGGGGTTTTGGTTTGTTTTTGTAAAATCTTGCTGGGTATTTTTTGGCCTTTCTGCCTGGGGTAAAGGCTGCTCTTCCTTTAAAAGTTGATGCTGATGACAGAATTTAAAATACAATAAGCCATGCCAAATACCTGTCTTTCCAGATCAGGCTGTGAGGCCACGATCCAAAGAAGAGGTAAAGTGTGTGCGTTTGATTTTATGCCCACCAAGAACTCCCCTTCAAACCAGCACATGAAAAGCAAAGCACGGGCTGAAGGCTGCACCAAATCAGGGCCAGCATTAAAGAGAGATCTGGGGGAAAAAAAAAAGAGTTATACAGCTAGCCCAAGGTGTTATTATATATTTAATTGAATTCAAGCTTTTTTAGACTCAAGTAAAATGCTTCAGCTCAGTTAAATGGCTCGTGTGAACACATCCCCCCCGATGTACAGTGTTAATGACTTGCCATAAGCCACCTGAGGAGCTGCCAGATGTTGCAGAGGTGGAGCCTTGTACGTGCAGCTACTAGTAACACGTGTAGGAGATGCATGAGGGCCACTCTAATGTAACTGTGCCCCTGGGCTCTCTCCCTGTGACACATTGGATGGGTTTTTCGTGACTTGGTTTAATGCTGCTGCAGAGAACTTCCCTGAAGAGCCCCTGCCAGACCAAGTGTTGCAGGTCAGAGTTTTGCTCAGAGCCAGCTGTGCAATAAGCAGCATCCGAGCAACGCTGGCCTGTACCCCCCAGGTCCCTTCAGAGGACTTTGGTGTTTAGTTGCTCTTTCATTTAGAAAACTGAGAAATGGGCCTGGCTTTGTGTTCAGAGACAGAGAAACTACAACTACCAGGGTGGGAAATTGCTGACTCCCCAGCAAGATGCTCGCAGTGTTCACATTAACGTGTGTTTGTACAAGTTCAAGAGAGGTTATCTCTGTCCTTATTCTCTGTTGTAGACAGGCCTGGTGACAATCTTTACACGGCTGTAAGTGCAATGACTGTTTTGTAGCAAAAAAAAGAGACCTACTGAATGTAACATCTCACTTCACTGGCCATCACAGCCCAAAGAGAATGAAACTCGGTTTGTATGGGTTATATGCTGACACTGTCGGTATTGCTGTCTTAGTGGGCATTGATTTGTCCAGCCCAGGGCAATCATTTTTATATACATCTTTGCATTATTTACTCTCATAGAGACCTAATGTATTTATCATTTTCTCACCATGTCTGTTACCCTCTGTGTTTTTCTCTCTCTTCTCAGGTGTTCTGTGTCTCAGATCTGAGCTCTATCCCATCCGCCTTTGTACTAACAGTCTCTGAGGCTCCTGGTTTACCCATAACGCATCCTTTTTTCTTTCACTTCTCTATTTCACCAAAACGTCTTCCTAAACCTACAATCTTCCTACAGGCACTTTTTAATTTTCCCTTTGAACTCTGACATTACTACACCAACTTAATGCTTCCTTTGAAGGACTCTTGCCCCGTTAGTAAATGCATGGAGGTCTCGTATGCGGACTCTTGTCTGAAAAGTTCATATTGTTTGCTTTTGTATATGAAGACTCTTCAAGTCTCTGCTTTTACTGGTGAGACACTTGCTGTAGCCTCGCGGCTTTCACCCCGCTGCAGAAGAGTGCTGACAATGTTTGGTTCCTACGTTACAACAGATACCCCAACCGCCAAAACGGCCTTGAGACCACTCACGAGGATAGTTTTTGGCGTGTTTTTGGAGAAGCTTTGGAGGATTTGGAAACATGCGGCCAGTCTGAACTTTTGAGGGAGATTGAGGTAAATCATTTTCCACATTCGCTGCTGTTCTGTTTTGTTCTTGCCATAAACGCTCGACAGTTTCCCCAGATCTCTTAATTAACCATGGCATCCCTGTGCTGTGAACGGTGTGAAGAGGAGCTTGAGTTACCCTGGAGTTTAATCTATTTAAGTGTTTGTGCTAATGGATAACCACGTCTCATTAGCCAGTTGCCTCCATGCGCTTTTTCCATCAGCTGGTGAATTATGTGAATTACTCACCGGTAACTCCACGCTCCTTTTCACATTCTCTGTTGCTGGCCAGCAGTCTTCGTGTGCCTGTTGGCAGAGCTCCCCTCGCCACCGGTAAACCCTCCGCCTGCAGAGAGATACTGATTGTCAGAAGCACTTAGAGGCCAAACAGAATGGACCCCAAAAATCCACCGGGGCTGAAGCTTTGGCTTACTTCAAATATAGGCAGGCTCGACATGTGTCTTGCATTCAGCTGTCACACCACCGGATACCATTTCAGTAAAATGGGTAATTGGAAGCTTTACAGTCAGCCTTCCCCGTGGAAAAATCTGAGAAAGTAATTGCTTCCTGCAGAAATAAAGGTGTTTCCTCTCTTCACAAGCCACTTTCTCTCTTCTTGATCCAAAATGTTCTGGAGGTCATGTTATTGTGTCCGGTTATAGGATGAGGAGCCCGGAATTTTAAGCCATGGGATGCAAATAAAGGTGTCTCTGGGGATTGCTGAGCAGCGTGACTGGTGGCAGAGGACACGGCTGCACGAGTCCTCAGGGATGGACTCAGCCCATGGTTTGCGATGCAGGGGGAGGAACAGCGCTCAGGGAACTCCTCTCTTCCCCCTTCCTCCTGGGAAGATCAGGGAAGGCTGGAGTATGTGTCCAACACCCCCAAAACATGGCCAGTGGCCAACACAGCTCCTTTGACTGGTGCCCCATATGCAAGGGTTGGGCTGGAGATGGTCTTACTGGGCTCTTCAAGCTTATGCGCTCTTTAATCCCAAGCCCTGCACGGGGAGATCTCCATCATCTCCCCCTGTTCTGCCCTCGCTTCTCCCAGGCTTTTGTGAGCAATTACCTACTGCTGAACCCTCAGAAAGAAAGAGGTGGAAAGGAAAGCCCTGCTTTGGTCTGTCTGTGGAAATCTTGATGAGGAGGAACTTAATTGTTCTTTCTTCCTTGATCTTTAGCAGTTTTAAGTAGGGGAGGAAGTTGCCATGAAATTTATTGTGTCGAAGCACGAAACACAGTGCTTCAACTTATCTTAACTATTTGAGGCAAGGCTGACTCAAAAGAAAAAAGAAACAGCACAACTTCTTCCTATGATCAGTTATTGATATCCTGAACCTGCATATATTTTTAGAAATAAGAAAGGCAGCTGTATAAACTTTCTGAACTTAATTTTGCTAAGATAAATACGTATAAATATATACACACACTTTCTGAACATAAAAAAAAACCCCAAAAACTTCAAAATCATGCAGAGTAGGTTCCCTTGTGTGTAAATGGTTGACATCTTAATTTAAAAGAGAGGATTTGTTTGGCTACAGAAAAATGCCGAGATAGAGAAAAATATCTTTTTGCTAATTCTTTTTTTTTTTCTTTTGCAAGAATTTGTGATGCAGGAATACATGGGCTTTTGAATCATGCTGTTTTAAGGCTTTGGAGCTTTGGCAGCTATAAGGTTTTACCAAATGGAAAGAAATTTTAGCAAAAGCAGAGCGCCTCCTGGGATTTGGCACATTTGGCAGGTTTCTGGAATGTTTTAGGATGTTCTGGGGACAGAAGGGGAAATGCTGTATTTGTAGCAGAATTTTGATGGATTTCAACTCCCCTTTTATCAAACCCAGGTACCGCTAGTCTCTTGCTCTCTGTCCAGGTAGTCTTCCTGTACAAGGTGGTGTGTGAGGAGCAACGCTCATTAGGGCTCTCACTATATCGGAGGATCCTGAGCTCCAGGTCCTGCACTCCTGTGATTTCAGAGCAGCCTCAGATTGCTTGAAAATAGGCCCTTTCAGGCTTGATATTTGAAAAAGACAGGCAGACATCCCAAATGACAGAATTTAGCTAAATATCAGGAGCCCTATACTCACGAGATGCCTGACCTGTGCCCTTTGAACACTGGGGTCTACCAGTGTGGATGCCCAAGCAGCTCAGGGCAAGTCTCAGCTCTGCCACACCAAATGCTGAAGCCCTTCTCTGCACCCTGTGCTTCATACTTGTGCAATCACCCCCAGCCCACAAGGGTTGGGGTAGAGCCGGGCTCTAGCTTCTTAGTTTTAAGAAAAATAAGACATGGGGCAAAAGAACATGGAGCGATCACAGGCTGGAGGACCCTGGAGCAGCCCTTTCTGAAGTGCTTATTACATTGAACTCAAAGCACCTAGCAAATTGTTAGCAAATCTGCAAGATGAAGCACATTAAAGATAGTGAAGGAGCTGAATACTGTAGCATTAGCAGGACATGAGATAGGCCATTTGTGAGGTGGCACAGCAGCATGGCCAACACAGCCCTTTCCGTTCTCTCTGTCCACTCCAGGACACTTGTTTTTGTCCAGCACAGTGTCCTGGGGGATTTCAAGGCTGCCCGAGGTCAGTGAACAAACATGCCTTGTACCCCTCAGTTTGTTAATCTGCTCTTGAAGTATTTGGTAGCTCGACGCCCTTCCAGCGTGTGAGTTCTGCCCAGACTCGAGCTGATTAAATGATTTTTATCATTTAGCCCCAAAAAGCTAGGGAACTTGTAAAGCTAAGAGGTTTTTATCTGGCCCCAGGATAACATGGCCAGCACTGGCATTTTCATATTGCCACAAGAATTGGCTTTATTTTCCTTTGTTTCAGCCGGAAGCGAAGAGCTGAAGGGCCTTGATTAGAGATTTAATCAGTTAATATTTCCTCTGTGCACATGAACAATTGCGCTTTGACTTGCCACATTGAGCAGAGCTAATCTAATGCTATCTGCTCCCTACTTTTCTTTCTCCTACCTTTTGACATTGAAGGGGCCTGCAGTCTTTCGGAGCCTGAATTTTGAAATGATGGTTTTCCTTATGCAGTTTAAATGGGCTCTGTGACCTGAAGGTGGTCGAGGTTCTGCAGGTTGGATTCCTGACTCCTTCATTAGCTTTGATCAATGTAATCTCATTAATGAAAAGCATAGTCGAATAGAGTGGAATCTACTTAGGGACATCTTACAATGGATGCTCTCAACGATGACCAGGCTTAAAAACTACTTAATTTCTTATTTTTAACTCGGTTTTGCTCAGTGAAGACTTCCATTTACTGACAGATAAAATCCTAATTTCTCTACTGAATTTGCCTCAGCAGAGTCTTTTCTGGGGTCACCTCTCCAGACTGGCAGTGAGTGGCAGTCTGGAGAAGTAGGCTGAGAAGACCCCAGTTCCTCTGGGGAGCACTGCAGCGTCAGGATGTTCATCACTGGTGATGTCCTTCTTGAACAAGTTGAGAAGGCTCCTGCCCCAGACAAGTCCTGCCCATTCCCATCAGTGCCTTGTTTTGTTGCCACGAGGTCCATCTCTTCTTGCTGCCTGAGCCAGGAGGTCCTTGCCTAGCTCAGCGGAGTGACTTTGTGCCCTTGTCCCACAGGCGTCCATCATGACGGGGAGCGTGCACAACCTGGGCCTGGAGGGCAGCAAGCTGCTCATGGACTCTGTCAGCCAGGCGGGACTGAGCCCACTGAGGAAAGCAAACTCCAGCTGTGATGAAGGACAGAATGAGAGCAGCGGCTCCCCTGCCAAAAAGAACGAGAGGAATCTGGACATGAAGAAGATTGAGAAGGAGATGCAGGAAATCATGGCCCCTACCCCTCTCGAGTTTCACAAGGTTTGTATTGCAGAGGGTTGATCTGGCAGTGGCCCAGCAGTACCTTGATGGGAAAAGGTGTTGGGTATTTTGCAATCCTGTGAAAAACCTTCTTCATTCTTTGCCAAAGTATTGCTTGGCCCCAACCAAGAGCTACAGGATAGGTTTCCAGAGGATCAGATTAACAGCAGAGGACCTCTCTTCGGGACATAGTAGTGATATTCCTCGCTGCTGTGCTCAGAGTAGTTCAAATTTAGTTCAAGCCTGAACCAACATCCGAGTTGCCTGTGTTAGATGAGATTTCCAGATCCCAGTGTTGTGTAGTTCCTTAACTGGTATTACAGATAGAGGTGAGAGAGGGCAAAGGATCTCCTCATGGGGACTCTTGGGCCCTTTTCTAGCCACGTGCACCACTTACTGGGCCCCTTATCTTGAGGTTCCCTTCCTTCGAAGAATTGGATTGCCTTTTTCTTTCCTGCTGTGACTTTGGGACTAAACTAACTGCAGTTATGGTACCTGGGAAAACACCTCTTTCATGTTTTATTTGATCTTCTCCTTCAGAGAAGGCAAATGGGTCCTTAGCTATAGCTTCATACCCGAAGGAGAACTGTGTAATTAGGCATGTTATAGGGTGACAGCTCTTTCTGCTGGCCACCACCAATGGAAATGGGATTTAGGGCAGACGTGCTGCTGCTATATGTCACGCTGGGCACAGTCCTACCAAAGCTCTGCCTATCTGTGAGGCCTTCCAGCCAAGAGCACGGGAGCCTCCCCAGTCCAGACACACTCCCAGCCCTGGGAAAGTCAAGGAAGGGAATACAGTGAGGGCTGGGAATCAGTTCCATCTGGCTCCCCATGGCAAGCTATACTTCTGCCAGTGCCTCTTACCTTTAGGTGAAACCAACATGTACCTGTGTCTGCTAGAACTTGAAGGGAAAACTTTCAAGAGAAAAGGGATGAAGTTACCCAGTTTTTGTTAGTTAACACTGGGTTAGTCAACACTTATTGATAGGAAGTTTTAACAGAGAACTGTTGAATAAAATGGGGCAATTTAGATGTTCTAGCTCTGTGACATGTCTCCCTGTTCAACATATTACACTTAAAATATCCTATGAGCACACGATTTTTTCATGTGCCAGTCTGGAATGTGCATGGGATGCAGAGCTGTACCACACAGCACCTGTGGCCATCAACCCTATATGTCCCCTCTTGCCTCTCCTGTATTGAAAGATGTATTCTCTGGTTCTGTCCCTCTAGATGACGCTCCACAAAGACCCAGAGAGTGAAGACTTTGGATTCAGTGTGTCGGATGGCCTGTTAGAAAAAGGTGTCTATGTAAATATGGTCCGTCCGGATGGACCGGCAGATCAGTGTGGCCTCAAGCCATATGACAGAGTCCTTCAGGTAATAAATGCAAAATGCAGTTCTGGAGGCTGGGACGGAGTGAATGAGTGGCTGAGAGGAAGAGAGAAGTGAGAACCATCCCTGGCATCACTAACTTTAATGAAAGGTAATAGTTAGCCAACTAGGTGGGCATCTAGCCACCATACTCTCAGAGACACCTGTGTTTTATAATAAGAAATCACTAGATAGCAGAAGTGATTTGAACTCTAGACTACACCTATTCCAAGGAACATTTCCATACAGAGCCTGTCCCGGTCCTGCTCCTTTTGAGCTGTAGCAGCTTTAAAATAGGCGAACAAAACGCCTTGTTGCTTTCCTTGCTCCAAGTCTATTTTCCTGTTATTTAAGAGGGTAATTTTTTGGCTGAACCAGACTGTGTTGACCAACATTTGTTCTCATCTAGCCCCCTGTGGAGTTAAACGGTGTTCATGAAGTTCTTTGCATGCCTTTGACAACTCAAAGAGTTTTCTAGGAAACATCCTCCAAGCAAAGTGTTTTTCATGGATATTTTTCGTCGGAAGATAGTTGATCTGAAATGACTGATGCAGAAAGTGAATACAAACCCTGGTCAAAAGCATAGTCTGTAGTAAATAAAACTTGGACATATCTAAGTACCAGAAGGAGCGTAAGAGCAGGATAGGTTTGGGAGATTGGAGAGGAACTTTATATGGATGAAAAACAAGTATTTTATCTTTGGAGCAACTCAAATAGCAACTGAGAAAGTGCAGTCCAACAGAAAAATTGCCACCATTTGGAAATGCAGATATTGTGACCGTATTTGGAAACACTCAGAAAGATGTTTAGTTTTACTCATTTCTAGGCGGGGGTTGTTCGCACTAGGATTAGAGCCAGTCTATTACGTGCATCAGGTAACTGCAGAACTGGCAGCGCTGTGGGAAACCTTGTTTAAGCTTGTTATGGTCTCCAGCCAGTTGGCTGCTATACAATTATTCCTTCTCGGCTTCAAATAAAAGATGGTGCAAGAACGAACAAGAAGCTAATTAGGCTCTGGGCTGCCTTTCTGTTGAACGCTGGATGTGTGGCTCTTTGTGAGTGCCAAGTGCTTTGGGAGATGTGCCCAAAATCCTGACCGGAGTGGAGACTTTGGAGGGCTCTCCTGCTTGCACATGCTGCGCTGCACGACTTGCACCGACGACAGGACACGGTGGTGGCCGGCGCGGTGACACACGCGACTGCTGCACGGGGGCTTTGCAGAGCTGGCGCAGGCACCTCCAAGCGAGAAGCACAGCCATGCATTGCTGAGGACGCTGCTAATCCCGACAAGCACGACGAGCTGCCCGCAACAAGCTCCAGCACCCAAGGCTAACGAGATCCCCCTGCTCTGCTCATAGACCTCGTGCCGCTCGGCCGGATGGATTAGCTGGAACACGACATTGCGCTAACGTGACTCGTGCACTGCAGCTGCCCAGCGTGGAGCAAGCTCGTGTCTCGTCTCTCCTTGGTCACGTGTGATCTGGAAGTTGGCATTAGTCACCTCTCTGCTAGGAGCTGCTAGTGGGACTAGCTCAGCTGCATAGGAGCCCAGCTCCGTGGCTGGGTGCTAAGCCTGGGGTGGGGTTTAGGGTGCAAATGTTGCATGGACTGATCCAGCCCTTATCCAGCAAAGGAAGCAGAGTCTGGCCCCAGGGCTTACGTGGGCTCCGAAGGTGGGTGGGAAATTCCTTTCTCCCTTCCCTGCTTGCCCTCCCCTTGCTGCTTGCCAGTCCCCTCTCTCCCGGGGCTCTCGGGGCACCAAGCCCAGGCAACGTGGGAGCTGGGGCGGCTTCTGCAGGTGACATGGCCTTGAAACATGCTTGGAGTCCTGCAAGAGACAGCAGGAGAAAGCTCTTGCACTGCAGGCTCCTGCAGAGAGGATCTGCAGCCTCTGCACTGCTCATGTCAACATGCACCCAGACTCCTCCAAAATGAAAATGAAATTGGGCACAGAAAAAGAAACTATTGAAAGGAATTTCGATTTACAGCCTGTAGCCTGCACAGATGTCTCCTAAGGGCTGCTGCTGGCCTCGTGGATGGTCCGATCTGTGTGTGCTTGCTAGGTGTCCAGCACTCCCTTTTACAAATTTAAGGTCGAAAAAACTCGTAAGGGCAAAAAACTTCCTAAATTTCCAAATCATAGCAAGTGGCAACCTTTCTCATGCAAGCTTGACCTGGAGACCTGCTTTTGAATCCTGCAGGGTTTAATAGTTTGAATGCTGCCCTGCACACCCCGGGTCAAGGTTTATGCCTCATGCAGACCTTTCTCCGTGTTGTTTCTTTGCGAAGGAGCGTTGGGCCCAGGCTCAGGGGGATGCCTTGCAAAGCCGGAGCTGCGTTACGCGTTGTCGCGGGTCTAGCGCCCGCCGAAACGTTTTCCAACTGACAAACCTGGTCTTTTTGTTGTTCCTCCCCATGGCACCTCCTGACTCCCCTCCCGGCAGGTAAATCGCGTCCGCACCAGAGACCTGGACTGCTGCCTGGCCGTGCCGCTCATTTCCGAGGCTGGAGATAAGCTGGACCTGGTGATCAGCCGCAACCCGCTGGCGCGGGCGGCGCCCGCCGAGGCCAAGGCGAGCGCGCAGACGCTGTGAGAGCGCGCGGGGCCCCGGCCAAGGGCTCCCGCGCCGCGTGCGGGGGCAGCTCCGGCCTGTTTTGCCCCGCTGGCTGTAAACGCTGTGTGCGCCCTAACCCGCCGCGGGCACGAGGGCGGCGCGGAGCCCTGCGGAGCGCCCGGCACCGCTCCGAAGGTCCGAGCGGAGCCCGTGCTGGAGCCCCCGGGGCCTCCTCCGGGCCAGCCCGGGCCCGGCAGGGCTGTGGGCCCCAGAGCCCCCGCCCTGGCCACCCACCCTGCAAACACACATGGTGCTATCGCTGTTTCCTGCATTAGCTCGGCTCCCCCGTGTAACCAGGTGGCACGGACATCGCTGTGTCGCTGCAGCCTCGTCCTCGGGGCCCACGGGGACCCCCACAGGTGCCACCGGCCTCCACTGGAGGAGCCCGACGGCCCCGGGAGCCGCGCGGCGGATCTGGCTGGGCGCCTTCCTCACGGGGCCAGCGCCGCGTGCAGGGACGAAGGCTGCACAGCTGCCCCTCTTCCTCGTCTCCCTCCGCAGGCTCTGTGTCCCCGTCAGTCCTCCCCGAGGCTGCCACAGCCGCCCGCTCCCTGTTCCCCATATTAGCACTTTATTCCAGTGCCCCGGCGCGCGGCAGCAAGGCCCGGGCACAGCCGGGAGCCGCGGGGCCCTCGCTCCTTGCACTGCCTCCATGGCCCCTCCGCCCGAGCCCGGAGCCACTTCCCGGCCTCCCTGCCCGTCCTCCGGAGCTTCCCGTGTCGGGGTGTTCCCGTGTCCAGCCCCGCTCCAGCTGCTTGTCGTCGTAGCCATTTCCTCTTCGCGTATGCAATACTCCTCGCCATTGCTGCCGCTACTCGGTAACGTGCCATAGTCGATACTGTGGAGCATTGACAGTGCGGCCCAAAGTGGGTTTATATGCAATATTCTGAGCAGCGGAAGCTCCCGGGGGCTTCTCGTAAGTTTTTAATGAAGACTTTTATTAAAGGCTTTAAAAACAAAAAAAAAAAAAAAAAAGGAGGAAAAAAAAAAAAAGGAAGAAAAACGTGGTCCTTGTATCCCTCCCTATGCATTTTGAATGATAAGAAGATGAAATGCGTTACTTAAATGTGTATTTTTATCCATATACTAGAGTGTATTCCTTGTAAAGTATTTTTCTATGCTAATTTTCTTATGTATCTATGAAAGCACAATATTTAAAAGTACAGCATTTCAAAGCATATTTTAGTCCTGTTTTGGACCTATTTGTAAATCTCTGTATTTAAATGGGATTGCAATGACTTTGCCTTTTTTTTTTTTTTTTTTTTTTTTTTAATTAAATAAAAGCAGATGAAATGCCGGTCTCGCCTTTCCTTGCGTCCGTCGCTGCCGGAGGAGGACGGGGAGGCTCCTGTTGAACCCGCCTGGAGGCCAGGGCTGCCCTGGGGCGAGGCTGCTGATGTGGGAGGCCGGGGGGGGGGGGGGTGGTTGTGCTGGGGGCCCCGCTGGGTTTTGGGGCATCGCTTCTGCTGCCACTCGGCCGGTTGTCACCATCAACAACCCTTATCTGCCACCGCTCGCGTCGCCAGCCACCCCCCCGCCCCCGGTTTCACACCAGGTGCTCCCCAAAAGTCGCTAATAAAGTCTTTATAAAAAAAAAGTATTTTTTAAATTTATTTTTTAAAATTATTTATAAATTATAATTTAATGATTAATTATTAATATAAATCTTATTTTTTTATTATTTATTTAATCATCCAGTACACATTGGTATCACCAACTACGCTGGCTGTAAACTGCCCAGGCCAGGCTTAACATCACAAGCTCGTCCGTCGGGATGGCAAAGCTGCAGCAAGGTCCTGCTCAGCCAGCAGAAACTGGGAGCTCCTCCTGGCCCTGTAAAGTCCTTCTGGTCAGGGAGAAACCAGGGAAATGAAGGGATTTTTCCCTCCTCTCTGGGCTGCATTTGCAGCCGCTGCCCTTACAGGGCTGCTGGCACCGGCTGAAGGTTAAGTCAGGAACCTGCTCCGAAGTGTGTAGGTATCCGAGTGTGTGTGTATGTGTCTACACACACGGTGTATGTATACTATATATATATATATATAAACTATATATATATATATGTGTATATATGTACATATATATACACATAGATATACACTATACACACATAAATGTATGCATAAATGTATACTGTGTGTGTGTGTGTGTGTGTAAAACCAAATATATAAAATTATATAGTGTGTATATTTAAATATATATGTACATACTTACATCCATATATGTCTATATATACATATAGCTCTACATCCTCACACAGACATATAAATACCCCCCCCCCCCGCACACACATATATATCCACACATACCACACAGTACATAACTCTAAAATTTAGAAGTCCAGTGACTCAACGGCCTAACAGAAACACTTGAGAACACATCTGGTTTATAAAGGAAAGTTTTATTTTCTGTTATAAGGTGATTACAAACTCATCTAAAAAAGCAAAGATGACTTAAAAATATCCATATACATTTTATTTATCTAAAAAGCAAAACAGAAACTGCAAAATACAAACATTTACCATATACACAAAGGCCAGGGTTTTAGGATTAAATTACACTCCAGGATTGGTTTCAAATACAAATATTCCTTCTCGGAACACACACACACACACAAAAAAAGTTTTAAAATGTTTTAAAAATATTTTTATTTTTTTTTTTTAATTTCTTAAAAAGTTCAGATGACAGTTTTAAGAAGGCCAGCACTGAAGCAGCCGCCTTGTCTCATGTGCTACTCATCACTTTACTGTAGTCACAGTTGCTAGGAATTTAAATTAAAAAAAAAAAAAAAAACCCACTGATTTTGTTTGTTTTAGGCAAAAACATCAAACAAGATGGCCCACCTCTTTTAACGTGAAGTCCCTGGAAACGGATCAGGTAACAAGCACAACATTACACTGGAGAAAAACACCATCCTATTGAACACCGAGCACTTCAGAACAGTACCGGGCTGCTGCAGTGCCGAGAGACCGGCGCACTCAACTTGCCCCCTCCCGGGGTTTCTTTCTTTTTTTTTCTTTTTTTCTTTTTTTTAAAGCCTCTCAACACAATTTTGCCACTGTTCTCATTTTTTTTTCCAGTATATAGTGAATAGTAATAACAATAATTAAAAATTAAACTTCATTAGCTTGACTGCAGAAGCAGATGCAAGAGCTTTAGGAACAATACGCAGCATGCGAACATGGACTAGGCTACAGGAGTGACGCCTTCCCCCCACAAACACACACGCTGCTCTTCAGCTTTACCCAATTGCTTCATTTTTCTTTTTTCTTTTTTTTTTTTTTCCCCCCGCCCATTCCCACTTATTCTTCCAATTTATCAAGTCAGGCCCCAGCTTTGCCTGGGCTGCAACAGGGAGCCAGGCTGTGCTGAGGAAGCACCTATGGGTGCTCGTCTTTCCTTCCCTCTAATGCTGGGGCTTTTTAGGTGGTTATTGGAAAATATTTTGTCAGGTTTTTCTGATTATTTAAAATAAGGGCAAAACATCAGCGTCAAGAATAAGCTGCACTGCAAGGCAAGAAGGTTGGGAGCTTTTGTTTTTTTGGAAGGGTGCTAATAATAGTTTCTTCACTTTTTACAACCTGCAAAATTTTAACTTTTTTTTTAACATTTTTTTTTTCTCTTATTCAAAACATTCCTGAAGCTTTTAGGCCTCAAACAGATGAAAACAGCCAATTTTTACTGACAGTTGAAAAATCAAAAACACATAAAAGTTTGAGTTTTTTTTTTTCTGTTAATTTGCTAACAGACACAAACAAATCCTTTTTTTTTTTTTTTTTTTTTTTTTTTTTTTTTTGGGGGGGGGGGTTGAATGCTTTTTACTCAGGGAAATGTCCATTAACAGATTTTTTTGGGAAGGGCTGGAAAGAGCAACGCCCCATGGCAGGGTGGGGTGGCCGTGGCAATGTCCAGCCATGCCTAGCAGGGGCTACCCGGGGAGTTTTCCTTGGGCAATTCAGCTTTATTGAGCACTGATGTCACTGGTGGTTCGTGTGTGTGAGACCAAAGCGTGCGGGCTGAGCGGCCTCGTTTGCCTTAGTGTGGTTTTTTTTCCCCATTTTTTTCACTATTTCCCAAGCTAAAGCTTGTTTTGCAGTCACCTACAGGAAGGCCTCAACCCAACACTTCTTTCTTCAGCTCATCCTCAATTAAAAGAAATAAATTGCTAAGCGGCTCTGACTTTGCTCATGCAAACACACAGCCCTGTATCCGCTCTACCCCCAGGGCTCTGGCTGCCGAGCCGGGAGGCCGTGAGCCCAGGGAAGCCACTGGAGCCCTCCGGGAACATCCGGCCCTGCTCCCGGCTCCTCAGCGCAGCCACGATCCCAGCCGGGGTTTTCACACCCCTGGGGCTCCCCGGGATCTGGGGCTCCCCGGGATCTGGGGCTCCCCGGGATCTGGGGCTCCCCAGCACACAGGCTCTTTGCAGGACAGAAATGCCCGAACTTTCTCAATCCACATCCTGCAAAGCTTGAAAGGCTTAAATTTGCACCCTAGGACCCGAAGCAATGTCCCTATTTGTGTGTGTGGATGGGCGGAAGACTTCACCTAATCTTCTACTTAAGCACAGATTTACGTTTTACTGAAAGTGAGCAACTTGCATTGAGTCTCCTGGGTCAGAGTCATCTTTCTTCCAAGCATACGTGAACTGCTGAGCTAACTTGTCCACTCCATTCACTACACAGCTTATTTAACACCTTATATACACTGCGCCTCCGCCTGCGATCCCGCAGCGGCCACAAGACGTGGAAGCGAAGAATCAGTTATTCGAAATGTCCAAATCCTTCTCCCGCGGGTGGAACTTGGCTGCTGGTAACAGCAGGCGGGAGCTTTGAACCCAAGTGTGACCAGCACCACCTCACCGACACCATGAGGCTCCTCAGCAAAGGAAAACCGGCTGGGAGGAGCCCAGGAAAAGGCCTGGCCCGTGGAAACGTCTCCGTGTCTGCAGCTCTGCTTGCGCTGTCCCATGTCCCGAGGGGAACGTGGAGCTGGCCGCACGTGCAGGTGAGAGGACGATGCCACCGGCCCGAGCGTGCGCTGTGCCGCGGTGCTGTCCTTGCGGTGACAGCAAACGCTTTGCTAACGGTGTTCGTGTCGCACCGAGCAGAGGGCAGCCGGTGTCTTTCTCCTCGCCCAAAAGCAGCAGGAAAAATCCATTTTGCTGCTGCTCCCTCCTCTTGCAGCTGGCCCTTCTAGGGCCGCGCCGGTGTCGGTGCCGCGGGCGCAGCCTTGCCTCCCGCGGCGAGAAGCAGCCGCTTGGCTTTTGGGTTGTCTTTTCTAATGCAAGAGCAACGTGGACTTAGTATCTCACATTTTAAAGAGGACTTTCCTAAGCGTGCGGATCTGTTTTGGACCAGATGAAAAGGAAAACTACCGACAAAGAGGAAAATGAGAACAACTACAGCAACAACAACAACGGAACAGTTCTATTTATGCAATCATACTGCTTAAATACCGAAATACAGACTACTGGTAAAGTCCCTTACAATAGATGCCCATTCGGTGAGATCATAACTAGTGACAGGTGAACTGAGAAAAAGTTTGGAAAGCTGAGAAAGATAAGGAACAAGGCTGGGAATTATGTGGGACTCATTTGCCATGTGTAATATCTCCTGATTGCAGCTGAATTAGAGACAAATACTGCTGAAAACCTGCCGTTTCCAAGCTCAGAAGCGTCTGTGAATACAAAGGTGCATGAAATATGAGAAAATGTGGCATGGTTTTGCTTTATTCTGGTTTTAGACTCAGTGATTTGGTTCTGAAGATTCCATGTCAAAAGCTAAACTCATTTTTCCCTAGATCCAAAGCAGTTCATCTATGACTAGTCATGATATTTTAATATCGAGTTCCTCATTTACATAAAACAGGTAAAATAGGTCACAATAGTTTAAACAAGTAAATTAGGAAAAAAAAATCAGTTGTATTTGCAATCATAAATAGGTAGAAAATACAGACATGTTTTAAAAATTACTTTTTAATGAATTTGGCAGCAGATTGTGGTGAAATGCAAATTTACCACCAAGAAAAATCAGAAATCTGAAAAAAAAGTGTTAGAAAAAAAAAAAAAAACCCAGAACAGTAAAAAGGTGAATGTGCTCAATGGAACTCAAAACCCAGAGCTAACAAAAAGAATCTTTTGCTTTGTGGAGGGGAAGGGGGTTATTTTCCCGAGCCAGCGATGCTCTGCTCTTCCCTGGGCAGGGGGCCGGGCGAGCTCGTTGCGTATGTGCAAGACGATTCCCTCGGGACGTGGAAGCGACTGATTTGAATGGCACAGTTTGTAGCGAAATGGGGCTGGGTTCTGGTTCTCTATAGTTTGCTTCTAAAGGTGTAGTATTAGCCCTCTGGTTCGGCACGCAAAGATGCTCTCCGCGCGGCCGGAGATGGCTCCGTATCCACCTCCCTCACCAGAGACCTTTTGCACCGAGCCAAACCATTTATTTTTTTCCCCCCTAACTAGAGTTTGTCTCAGCTATACAGCACGAAACTCATGTGCAAACAAATCTCAAATGCAGTTTTATCAACGCAAACGAATAACAAACGAAACAATCAAGCACCAGTGTTTCACTTGCACTCCTCAAACCATTCATGTAGATGCCTGACCTGCTACTCTCATCTTAACCAGGGAAAGGTGCCTGGTTAGTGTGGGCACCACTTGTAACTCCAAAGGAGAGCCCGAATCAAAGCCCATAACGAGTTACCTTTCATTCCACTTTTGTGCCTTTGACAGTTAAAGCTTTTTTTTAAATTAAAATAAAGCAAACTTTCTCCAGTGAGCTCCTCCAGGCCTTGGGATGGCTATTGCCACTGGCCCAGCAGGTAAAATACGATATTAGCCATCTCCAGCCGTGGAAAAGTTTAATATATAACTCTCATAATACAGCAACCAGAAAAGAAAACAATAGCAAAACAGTAGTGGCTGCTTTGTTTCTGCAGCTCAGCCATCTGATTAAAAGTCATGTACAAGTTAAAATTAGAAAAATAAATGGGAACAATAAAGTATAGATGCAAGGGTTTTCTTTTCTTTGCTTTGGTCCATCTCTTAGTTTTAAATCATCCCTTCTCTTTTACAGTAATACCAACAAGTTAATCGAAAAGTTATTTGTGCTGCTGTGGCCAGTTAGTCCATGAGGCATTAAAGAAAAATAAAACTACTGCGTAGGAATGTTAAGAACTGGATATGTTCCTGTTTAAATGATAAAGCCTGTCCCGACAGCCTAAGCTGACAGTAAAATTAGCAGATACAAAACCCTGCTTTGAGGAAGCATTCCCTCTATATAACTTTGGCTGGCCTAATTGTGGTATCATTAGAAGAAGAAAAAAAATCTCCCTCAAATACAATGCCTACAAGGCAAGGCAGAGTTTCTCCAGAGAACCTGTTCCCAGCACAGCTTGTTTACATTTAATAAAAAAAAGAAAGAAAAGAGAATAAAAAAAGAAAGGAAGAAAGGAAGAAAGGAAGAAAGGAAGAAAGGAAGAAAGGAAGAAAGGAAGAAAGGAAGAAAGGAAGAAAGGAAGAAAGGAAGAAAGGAAGGAAAGAGAAAAGAGAAAAGAGAAAAGGAGAAAAGAGAAAAAAAGAAAAAAAACGAGAGAGGAAGCTTGTCCATCCTTTGGACAGTCTTCAGACAGGAGATCCCCATGGCATTAGCTACTCACTTCAGTTTTCTGCACTTCCTTTTCCACAATCCCTGTAGTGGTTACTCCTTAGGCTAACCTGAACAGTACACTGCTCTTTGTGACCCAGTAAAAGGATCTTTCAATGTTCTGTGTTTCCTTTGCTTCAAAATGCCTTAAGCTCTAGTTCTTCTTCTCGTGAGGCCTATGCACAGGCCTCAGAAATACATAAACCCCTTCTCCCCAAGCCCAAATGATCACAGTCTAACCCAAGACAGGTGAGGAGACTGGGCAATCTGCATGCAGATCCACTGCTAGTTTTTAGTGACACGGGACAGGGTACTTAGTCCTTACATTTCCCCAACCAGAACATCCAAGCAAATAAATAAAGCAAATCCAGGTTACCGTACTTGGTAAAGTATTTCTGAGATACACAGATGAAAAGCATCTGTTTGCTGACTTATTATTTTCATTACTGCTATTATTACTGATGTGTTTGTTACAAATACATGTTATGTGGGGCTTAGGTGAGTGGCTTTGCTCTTCCTGTCAGGAATGATCTGGTTCGTGTTCACCTTTGAACGGTCAGAGTCTGTACGAGACTTTCTTTCCTTTTTTTTTTCTGAAAACCAAAGTCCAATCCTTAACAAGCAAACCAAAGACCAAGCAAACGTTTGGCCACAGGTGCTGCTTTTCGCCAGCGCTGCCGCCGGAGCAGCCTGTGAGTCACTCTTTGCAGAATTCAAGTTTACACCAGCGATACCTCAGCTAAAAACGCCGTGGTGGAAACTAAGGAGCAGCTCCTCAACCTCCTTACTCATGCACAAACAGCAGGCATTTCACCTAAGTAAAAAATGAAAAAAAAAAGGAAAAAGTGAACCATGCCAAATGCAGCAAACGCCTTCCTAAACTCCTGCTCTGGGGTGGGTGATGATGGGGTCCCAACACCGTGCTCAGACGGGATGGCTGCAAGCCTTTCCACACCCACGTTCCCTGCCTCCTCCTCAGCCTTTCTGCTCCAGCTGTATCTTTTTTCAGGGACTATGCAAAACATATGTGAAACGATGGAAACAGAACTGTACCCTTTTCCCGATGGGACCCTGAAGTCTGTCGTTTACCACAGTTGAACCAGAGGGTGGAAATACTACACCTTTGAAAATTCTCTAGAAACGGTATTCTTTTTTTTCCTCAGTCTCTCAACAGAGCTCCTTCTGTGTGTTCTGTAGGTTACCCTGCTCCCAACCATACCAGCACCTAAAATTGCTTTCTGAAACTTGAATATATTGCTGGCAAGACAATCAATTCAAGTGGTAAGGTGTATAGTACTTAGAGATAAAGATATATATATTTAAAAAAACCCAATAATAGTAAATTCCTGTAATATGTCTAGTCTGATATGAAAGCTCTCCCTCTACAGAGAGACATCTGCTGTGATTACCTTACAAAATATTAAAAAAAAACACACACAAAAAATAACTTTCTCTGTGAGAAATAAAAATAAATCCTAGTGCAAATATAAAGCTCTGTAAACCTGGTCCTATGAGAATCTATGGTTAGTAAACGGCAGTTAAAGCAGGTTTATCCTCTCACAGAGAGAGCTCACATCATGGTTTCCACAATGATATGAGTTGGCTTGATCAATCCGCCGTTCGACGTCCCGTTGGGGCAGAAGGGGGTGCCGCTCTCCGTCTCTTTGGACCACCGATTCACTTCCTTGGGGGCAGCCACTGCTTTTATCCTCTGAAAGGGGAAAGGAGGCCAAGGTGAGAAGGCAAAACACATCCTGGCTCGAGGCTGGAGAGCCCAGAGGACACGGGGAGGGTCTGCCAGCATCCGGGGCGCTGCGTTTTCAGCTGCTCCTCGAGTTGCTCTGCCTCGGTCAGAAACAGCCCTGCCTTTCAGTCCAGCAGCTCTTGGCCAAGTGGCCACTTCTCTCCTACATCTCCGTTCACAAAGGATGAACTAAATGGCATCTGACCAGTGGTTACTCTCTTCCCTTTTCTAACATGCTTTTCGTGGAGTGTTTTGGCTACTTTTAGACTTGTCTCTCAATAGATGGGGAAAATAAACACTCAAGAAAAGGTTCTGGCTGAAAAGGACTATTAACACTTGGAGGAAAACAAACTCAAGTATTTGTGTTCCAGGAAATGTTCCTTTTTCATTTTATTCCATCTCTTTTCTTTTCCTCACCCGAAGTATCCCACTTTCTCCTCCAACAATATCCTCTCTGCATTTCAGACCATCTCACTAGAGGACAATAAAACTAAACTGAAACCTCTGATGAGAAGTGCTAAGTTTAATGCTTGCACAACCTCTAAAATTTTCTGAAAAATAGATCCGGAGAACCAGTGCTGAAATGTGAAAGGCAAGAGACTGCACGAAAACCTGAACAAATGGGCAATGTCAAGTCTGAATCCGAACCAAGTTTTCCAGAACTAGGGGGAACCTGGACGCAGTCTTTTCATTTGATTCATTAGAAAAGCTAAAAAGTGAGGCAAATCATTGGCACTGGCATTTGACTTCTATTTAGACCCCAGAGTGATGGCCAGCCTTGTGAATCACAGAGTCTTTGAGTGTTTGTCTGCACATGAAGGCAACAATTTGCCAAGCTGAAAGCTGCAGACGCGGAAGGCAAGTAAAATCATCTGGTGTTTATTTGAGGACAGAAGGTTTTGCATTTGTTCTGCTTCTACTGTTTGCCAAAAGGACAGGTGATCGTTAACAGTCTTATCTGCATTCGCTCTAGCAGAGGTATCCAACTTTGCCCTACCTGGGCCAAGGGCCAGTTTCCCAACTGTTGCATTTATTTTGTATAAAACAGAGCAAGTTAAAGCTCCCTTCCTCTGTATTGCCAGCTGTACACAAAAGCTAGATGTCTGGTCAAGTTATGGTCTAACTTAGTGAGCTGATGAGGGAAGGTAGCATGGTGTGGCCCATATACCCTGTAAGCAGCCCATTCTCTTAAAGCAGGGAGAGGTGAGGGCTACTTCACCTAAACATGGGACCTCTTTTCCCACTGTTAAAGCAAATCACCTGGAGAAGAAGCTTAATGCAAAGAGAATCCCCCACCACCCTGACTCAGACCCGAATTCACTGTCCCACCTCCAAAGCAGTCTCCGTCCCCATAAGGAGCCTCCTTAGGGTGGTTCTTACCTCAATGAGTGACCCATCTGACTGTATGATGCGGATGACCATCACCATAGGGATGCAGATCATGGAGGAAAGGGCAAGAACCCAGCCCAGGCCAATTGCCCAATCTGGGTATGTGTAGACCTTGTTGTAGGTCAGCGGTTTGTACTTGGCCAAAGAAAAGATAAAGCACCCCTGTGTAAAAAAGAAAGGAAAACAAAGGGAGGCTCAAAATATGCTGAAAGCAGCTAGGCTCTAGTGTTATTGCCGGCCCTAAGGAAGCCAGGCATTGAAAGGCAGAGCTGAGAGACACATACGTATCTTAAACCAGGGGAGCAAGCTCCCTTGCTCAGGCTTTTCAGGACTAAACAACTTGCTGCACATTGCAAAGAGCTTCCTGGGATGTTCTCCCCAGCAAACAATATACACCAAGCTGAGCATCTGCTTCAGACTACGCAGATCTTCTCATTAAAATGGCCTCACAGTCCTGTTACTTAGTGCAGCGAGTGCTTTTACAGAGTGAGTTATATGTGCCATGGAGCTAATATTTGCCCAGAAAAATACACCCAGATTTAGTCTGCTACACGTTGCACAGGCACAGCAGAGAGATGTCACACTAACAGCTAATATTGACTAAGGTCATGTCTTTGAAGGCTGTGTTCAAGCTTCTGAGTGCAGCAGCCCTCCATTGAAGAGGAGCAGTAAGACAGGCTCAAAGCTGCAACACAGAAGACTTAAAAGAGTTAGATCAGTACTCACCACACAGAGAACTGGTGTGATCACGATCCAGCTCCATTTCATCCAAGGACCAGGTCTGTATCCAATCATATCCTCAATGGCATCATAAATATTATCAGCGCCTGTAATGGACAGTGAAATATTTTTCAGAATCCTGTATATAAAAATGGGCTAAGGTAGAGGACTGTTCTAAGGATTAAGCCCGAGAAGGAAGGATGCTAATCCGGAGCCCTCTGGGATCAGATGAAAACGGCCAAAACCAAAATCTTCATTTTGGATCAAATTTCCATAGATTTTGTTTGGCTTTTTCTTTCTTAAAGGAGATGGAGTGAAGAATCAGGGAAATGACCAGTCACGAATCGCGAACTTTCCTCATCTCTCCTAAACTACTGTCACAGCAGCAACTGGGGCCACGGTCAGACTTTGGCCATCAGCATCTCTTGGAAATAACAGACAGAATGCACTTTCCCCTGACTTTCTTTTCATATTTTCTATTTGGTTCGCTTGACCCCTGCAGACAGCTTTGAAAGGATTTTTTCTTTTGAGACAAACACAAGTTTTCATGGCTGGCCAATCTTTCAACTCTCATCTCCAAAAACACATGTAAATGCTTAATTGTGCCTTTCTTAATAATCAATGAAAAAAACCCCTCTTTTTGTGTGTGTGAAAAGCATTGAGGGTTGGCTTGATCCCAGATGCAAATTTTCCTCCAAGAAGTGACTGCAAATTTATATTTATGGTAAGAATCTGTTGCTGGGAAGAAGCTTGTGGAATGACTAACTATTTGGCTGGCAAAATTGTCACTGACTCATCAAAAGGTATTAGATGAAAGGATTCACACTTACCATAAACCCAGGCTACAGCAATACATTCAAAGAATGCAACCCACAAAAGGCATACACCACTAGCTGCATAGTAGTCAAAGAGTTGAAAAACATACATGCCACCCTGTAAAAGAGATATATCATGGATTAGGATCCAGCAGGAAAAAAACTCTGAGCACTCTAGGCCCAGCTCCAAGTAAAATATGTTTGTGAACAGCATATGCTGCTTGCCAGGCACTTGTTTATGTCAGGTAATATCTACTAATATATCTTTATGGCTGCTCTCTAACAAGCAGAAATGTCAAGCGACTAGGTAAGGCAAACACCTGGCATCACCTTCCTCAGAGAATATGCTTGTTTACTATAGAAAGCACTCTAAACGAGAAGATGATTAACCAAAATTAAGCCACTTACTATAATCGACTGAAACACTTAAGTCTTCCCTTCTTAAAAGTATTTTTAGGATGGGCATTTACAGAAATGAATGGTGCAAAGAAATAATAGGTCCTTAACATAAATGCCTCCAAAAGCCTAAAAATGCAAGTCAGCTCGTCAGGACGGTTCTCATTTATGAACCAAGTGGAAGGACTGTTTTTCATCTGTCGTTTTACTGCACTGCTAGACCCGTTGTTCTCACCACATAGCACTGTATTTACCTGGCCAAAACATGATTTGGTTAGGCACGGCCTCTTACAGGTACTATTTTAACTCCCATAGTTGTCCTCTTCAGTTGTTTTTAAAATCTGTCTTGAATTTTATTTTGGAGATAAATATCACGGCAGTGCAGCCACCGGAACATATTCCAGTCTTGTTTACACTAGAATAAATCCAAGGCTATATAACTGATTCAGATCTGTGTAACTAAGATTAAAATCTCTTTCCCTGCATGCACTGGATGGGATTTTAATCTGCTTTACCGGAGGTTCCCATTACGTTTCATCATTTGGAGCCAGATGTTAATATTCATACTGAAGTTGATTAGTACCTTAGATCGGATTGAAATTAATGAGATTTCAGATCCCTCCTCCTCACACTGAAGAAGGGGGGAGTATTTAGCTCCCTTTCAAAACAGTTTCAGAACTAGGGATGAAAGAGGTAGTGAAGATCTAAAGAGGCTGGTTTTTGGAGTGGTTATTACTGCGCTGTCTGATTTGTAGTGTAAATTCATCTCCACAGGGACCAAAAATGAAGACAATTTCAGACAACCCGCGTTACTTACCTCAGTCACCATAGTTAGTCCCAGAAGATAGCTAAGGAAACATACTACAGCGATGAAGATTTCCCGTCGGTAACCCTTCCTTAGGAAGGATGGGTGCAGATCAACTAATGACGTGATCTGTCCTTCAACTTCAACAAACTAGAGAAGCAAACAACAATAACAAAAAAACGTGACTCAAAACATACCCACCAGGCATTTTATCCTGTCATATAATTAAACAAAACACTATTCCGAACAAGTAACTCAGAAATCATTCCTTAAAACACAATGGTTAAAGTGTGGGGGCAATTTTCTGCCTGGAACAGGCTTGAGAATGGCTGTTCATTTCCTAGCATCCTCCTGAACTCCTGCAGAGGCTTTGCAAATGCAAGCCACAGGGAGAAGGGAACTTAATTTGACGTTGGGAAGGCACTTACGTGGCTTTCAAGCTACAGCTGTGCCACATAAAAATGAGATATTTGCTGGAAAAGAGGCAGAGAGAAAATGCTCAGTAATGCCTAAGTCTTCCGAGCTGAGACCTCTCAGTCTCTTTCTCTGATGTGCCCCAGCACCTTGTAAGTAGGTGCTGTTTTGGTTAATTCAGTAAGTAGATATAACTGCACTCTTGATTTTGCTAGTTAAAATCCAGCCAGTGGAAAGGAAGCTTTGATGCTAAATAGGCAATCTTTTCTCACCTTGAGCACTTCTGAATGAGGCTATGGGGCCCAACGATAACAGATCTGTTGCTACATTTCCCATATGCAGATTTGGTATTTACAAAGATTTAACAAAAATGTGGCCAAAGATTAGCCAAAATCTGAATTTATCTAGCTAGTGATAACTGTATTTTTGATAACTTTGAGCTTTATATAACTTTGTGTTAACCAAATAACCAAAACTGGATTTGAGTAGAAGTTTCTGGAATGGAAGCCCTGTCTTCCTGCAGGGAAAAGGGACTGCTCAGCTCCTCTCAAACAAACCCAGAGGAAGGGAGGGATCGTTCAGCCAAGTCCTGCCTTTCCCCCTGACCAGGTTCTAAGCTTGCAGGTGTCAGTGCAACCCTTCCCATTCGCTTTTGGACCCTACCCAAGGCAAAAGCATCAAGTTCACTGAAAACATGAGGCCGTCAAGGGTTGCCAAGGTAGCTCTGTGGAGCTGACCTTCACTTTCAGTGGCTAAATTATCTTACGATCAGCTCTTTATCATGGGGCATTTACAAAGCAGCATTATTCAAGACAAGATACCTTCTTCTATCCAGTATCTAGATTGCTCCTGAAGTGCCCAGAAGTGCCCTGCATTAACTATGTCCTTTTTGACCAGGAGCTGAAGCCCTGTTAGGAATGACAACCTGCTCTGAAAATAGGCCATCAGATTTTGTTGCCCTCTCTCTTGTTACTGGGACTTCTGAAACTGGCTTTTTTTTTTTTTTTTTTAATGCAATCATTTCCTTTGGTCTGATTTGATCTTAAACCGCTCTGGCATTCCAGAAACCTGCTTGACTGCACTCCAAAAACAAAAACAACAACAACAAAAAAAGAGGGTTGGAAGAGAGAAATTAAGCGCTCCAATTAGTTTTAATCATTCTACACAGTTAGGAGCTTTTTAAAACTACTAGACAGCTTCCAATTTGTCAAAGTACAGGGCTGCTGAACCACAGTTCTGGACACTTCTATATTCATTTCAGAGAGATTTAAAGGTGTTCACTGCAGTTCAAAAATTAAGCCACAAAGATCAATTTAGGACACATGGAATGTCAAAAACGTAAGAGACAAGTGCACAAGAAATGAGTAAAAACCCATTTGCAGAGCTCTCTTCATATGGGAGAGGATTTAGTCTAAACAAATACTTTGCCCCTGTCACTGGCGTTCTGGTAATCCTAGTTACTTTGCATTTCAGTGCAGAAAGCTGCCTGTTGCCCCCAAAATTAAGCAATTTCAAACGCATGGTCACTGCATAAACCTTGGTCACATCTGTTTCCTTGTAAGTGGACTATCTAGAAATGATTTACAGGGTCCTCTTGTGCTATTTATTCCAACATTTCTACAAGCAACCACTGGGAAAAAACAGCCTAAATCCCTGAACTTTTGATTTTTCCCTTGCTCTGCAATTAATAGCAGTGTGTGGTTCGGACGGCCGGAGCTGTCCTGAGATGCTCCCTGGCCCACTTGGGGCTGGCATCAGGAGTCAGCAGGACCCCAAGGTGTTCAGGGTCTCTGAGAGCTGATGACAGAAGCTACTTTCTTTTCCCTCTGCCAGGTAGTGAAGTTACCCTGGATACACATCCCCAAACCTGTGCTTTTTGCACCTTATAAATGACTTTGCATTTGTTTGGCGCTTTGCAGCCAGTGGCGCTCGCATTCCTTGTTGTTATTAATTACAGTGAGTATTAATGAAGGTGGCCACCCAGTTGATGGCAGTGGCAGGAAGCATCCTACAGATTTCTACGGTCTGTCCCGCATTTGAAGTGCTCAGCCCCATCTCTCGCACCCAACGCACTCACCTGGCTATCCAGTCCAAGCAACAGAAGCATAATAAAGAAAAGGATTGCCCAAAAGGTGGGCAGCGGCATCATGGACACGGCTTTCGGGTAGGCAATGAAGGCCAGGCCGGGACCTAAAGGAGAAAGAGAGAACAGGGAAGGGGGAAGGGAAGGGGAGAGAACTAGTAAGTACCAGCTCTTCAGCAGAGGTAGGCACACTCAAATGCAGGAATGCCTGGTTCCGTTCAGATAAATCCAAACGCGGCTGGAAATACCAGAAGTGAAACAGTTTGGCTCTTTTATCTGAAAACGAAGCACGCATGACTACAGCAGAAACCACAGGCAACCCCCCCCGAGGCCATGGCTAACAGACGGCCAGTTTTAACATCTGTCTCAAACGTGCCCGTAACGAGTCTGCTCCTAGGCCTGTCCCACGCGGACGCAGCGCCGGAGCGGGGCGGGGGGGACGAGGGCGGGGGGGATTGCAGGGGAATGGCAGAATCCCATCGCTAGCCCCCATGTGCACGATGGAGATGATGATGATGGAGCTCTCTCGCATGCAGGGAAGGGGCTCTCTGCTCCAAAGGTTCCCTGGGACAGGCACCTCTGTGGACGTGGCCACCTCCGAGCTCTGCGTGTGTTTGGTAGAGGGGCAAGGGGAAGACGGGCGGCAACTCTGCCCACCCTGCGCTGGAGCAGCAGGCTAGTCCTAGCCGCTGGGCCCGGCTCCCTGGCGAAGCGCCTCCGCGCTCCGCACCTCCTGGGGCCGACACTCAAGGGGAAAGGCAATCACCTCCTCGCGGCCGCAGCGACGTGGGGCGGCAGCGACGCCGAGCACGGCCACGCCGGGGCCCATGGACAGGGTGGCCCCAGGGTGCCCCGGCCCAGGGCACAAACCCCCTGGGCCCAAACGTGGGGGCGAGGCCGGTTCTAGAGCCCCCCTGGGGCTGTGGGACCAGGGACCCGGCTCCTCGCATTAACAGCCCTCTCCACATGGGCCACCATGGAAGCCTGGCAATGTCTGCCTTTTTTCTTTCCTTTTTTTGGTTAAAGAGCCTTGAAAACTAGCGCTTTCCATGCCTTTTAAGCAGATTTAGATAAAACTTTGCTTTCAATGGGGAGAGGAATTTTGCTTTCTTAACTTCTGAAGTATGGGGCCTGATGTCTCCTCGTCTAGCCTGTACAGAAAAAAATCTCTTAAAGCTGTTCTTCCTACCTCCCACTTTTGCTTTGCAACAAGAAAGATGGAAAAAGTAGAGGGAGAAGTAAAAAAAAATAAACTTTTCTTTTTAAACTAGAGAAAACTTTAAGTCACTGAAAATGCTTGAACAGAAATAAATACAAATTAGCCAAACAATCGAGCAACTAGTTTTATTTAAAATGAGACTAAGATTTTTATACGACAGACGATACCAAAATAAATTGGTGGGTGTCTAAAATTTGCAGGGATTTGGCCTCCCCACCCCGTCCCGATCTTTGCTGAGACAGATGTAAAACGGCTGCCCTCCATAACCCCCCCAAACTGCTGCATGCTTCACCCCGGGGACGTGTCCTTGTGCTGTGGTGCAGCCTAAGGGCCCTGAGCTCTGTGCTAGCTTTGATTTGCCTTTGAAACTAACAGTTGGAATATAAGGGCGAAAAATCTGCGGGAAAACAAAAACGTTTCTGGCAACCCCATCGGTGAACATAAGGAATTTTAAATGATACTTAATCTGGACTTGGTTGCTCAGAAAGATTTTTTTTTCTCTCAAATCTGAAGCCTCCTGAAAATGCTAAAAGTGCCTTAAAAAAAAAAAAAACAGGGACAGTGCTGATTAATAAAAACCATGAGGAGGGACTGAACATGCTGTGAGGCGGTGGAGGGAGGTGGGTGCCCTGTGGGTAAGGTCCTCCCTAATGTTAGAGCCATCTCCTCACCTTTCCCTAACGTTTTGGTTGGGGCGGCTGTGACTTTGCATGACCCAAACCCACAAGTGCTCAGCACCGGGGGAGGCAGCGAGTGAAAACTGCCCTAGGATCTGCTGGAAGGACCTGGACAACGCTCCCTGTCATGGAAAAACATCCCTGGGGCTGGAAACAGAGCAGCTATGGGTTCAGTTGGCTGGCTAAGGGTATCCCCCTGGCCGGCTGAGATGGCTGCAATTCCTGCCCATTGCCAACTAGGGCTGAATTTAAATCCTCAAATTGCAAATCCTGAAGGGATCAACAAGGAAATGTGCAACGAGGCAAAAAACAAAGTCTGAAACTACACAGCACCCTTGCTGCTCCAGGTATAGAATTTGGATTACGTCAGTCCCCTTTGAAAAATGCTTTTTGAGCTCTTTCTGGAAAAATGCTCTGTAAGCACCAAATTCATTCGTTAATTTGTATCTAAACATTACTTAATAGTGCTGGGTTACTAATAAATTATTTACTTTTAAAAAAATAATGCAACGTTACTGTGAAATTATTTAATTTACCAAATGCCAAGCAAAAGGAATGCAGCTGCCTGCTTATCAGTGGATTTAATTAATCAGAATTAGAATAAATATTGACCAGAAAAAAACATCAGTGTGTAAATACTTAAAAACACTACTCTTGGAATCGATCCACCTACATATTAAAAAAAGTGGGGCTATTTACAATTCATTCAGTAGGATTATTCCCTTGCTTCCTGTGCTCAAACAAAGCAATCAACCTCTGATCAGAATAATCATTATGGCCAAGAGACTAATTGCAATTGCAAGAGGTATGCCAATTTTAGCCACCCAAGAATGCAGCAGTGCCACCAGCGTCATTAGTTTTTCATTAGCCCTTGTAATGTGAGATATTTTTCATAACGACTTCACTCCTGGAGTCATATGATTAGAAGACATATCATGTTCATTCTGTTCTTTTTTAATTCTATTTCTAAATTTTTTTGCAGAGAAGAGAGCTTTCAAATACTATGCAGGTGAATTGTAATTGCTAAAAAAAGTCAGAAAGAATTGCTGGAAGTGCTCTGAAGTGACATTCTATGAATTTGATTAGCTCTAAGCCTGTCTTGTGGTTGTTGAAGCCTGACCGGTTAGTTTTGAATTCCTGGGGTTGGTAATGCCCATCTATGCTGTCTGTTCCCCCTCGAAAACACATTGCTACCCTTGCCCTTATGGATAAGACAAGCACAGAAGACAAATGTCATCTATAGTTTCCAATATATATTCACACACATGCTGTGAGGATTTAACCTCCTTCAGCTGCATGCACTTAAGCTGGATATCAGGGGCAAGAACCCATTCTGCACCGGGGAAGCCTATAATGTATATCCCATTTCAAAATGGACCTCTCACCAGAATATCAACCTCAGCCCAAAGCTATATGTCATAAAGGCGGGATTGCAACAGCTATAGTTATTGCGGATGAAATGGTCCATAGAATCCATGAGAACTGGTTCTCCAACTTCTCCTGCCTTTCAGTGAGACTTAGAAACATGAGTCCCTTCAAGAGGCCAAGAATATTCCCTCTGTGAGCAAGTGAAACTTAAGCTACAAAAAATACATAAGAACTGGCTATTTGCATCTGAGTGAAAATACAGGTAGTCTGACAAGAAGGATGGAATAAATTTTTAAATCAATGATGTTTTTGGACCCTAGATAATGGCTAAACTCAACTGAAAAGGATTAACCCCCTCTAGGAAGCGTGCTAACTGCCCTGTTAATCAAGAAAGAACAAACTACATAGCCCCAGCTAACCATCATTGCTCTAGATGCAAGCCCAAATCAACAGGTGTGAATGTGCTTATTTTTCTGGAGATTACGGGAAATCTGGTTCTGTTTTTATTGCTTAGATGTTAGCTGATTGAGTCTGCAGAACTTTGCTCACACGCTAGGCGGCAGTGCCCACCACCACTGCCACCAATACCATCGTACCTGACTCTGCCACATCAGCAATGTTCACCCCTTGCTCTTGTGCCATGAAGCCCAGGACGGAAAAAATTGCGAAGCCAGACACAAAACTGGTACCACTGTTCAGGCATCCCAGCAGCAAACAGTCCCTAAGTCACACATATGTCATGGAGCAAGTTAATTAAAAAAAAATTAACCCATTGTCCCTACTTTATTTACATCATTTAGCTAAAACACTAAACCCCCTTGGATGGAAACTTGCCTATAGCAGTTGTATTTGTACTTGTTGTAGCTCCCCAGGGAAGTCATTGCTCCTAAGCAGATTGCATATGAGAAGAAGATTTGTGTCCCTGCATCTATCCAGACCTAAAGGGAAGATGGAAGGATTGTTACTACAGGCATCATTGCATTGCAACACCCAACACAAACACACAATTCCAAGTATGCAATATCAACAAAATACTTGCTTCCATTGAGAATGATAGCTATAGGATCAGGAAGGAAGGGAAAGAAAACATCACATTTGCAAATTCATCTTTTGTTGGGAAAAGAAAATTGTTAGCATCAGAGTCCACAAGAATGGCATCTCTTCATTAGTCCCAGTATTCCCTCCCCAGAAATGTTCAGTATTTCTACTGCCTTAATCATTCAACCGATCCTTCCTGTTGACGCAATAAATGTACTCCAATGCTCTAGGAAATGCAGTAAAATAGAATCAGCCTACATGGTCACTAAATTGACAATAATGGAAAGCTTGAGAAACAGGCATTTTTCTTTTTTTTTCTTTTTTGGTTATTTTTCTAACTATTCAAATGCAAGGGGAAAAAAAAAAAAAGACATAGGAATGGGGGAAAAAACAACCAAAATACAGTGCCATTTAAACTGCAAGAAGATTATCTCAGTCTCATGATTCTTTCTAATATTAAAAAAAAAATCATACAGAAAAATAGAGCATTATACCATGAACCTCCAAGTTAGGAAATATATAACAAGCCATCAAATTCATCCTTTGAGTCCATCTACTCACAACTTTTTTTCTGCTAATGTAAGCGTGCTAAAGCCAGTGGAAACTACAAAGAATATCTGATTAAGTGAGAATTCAGCCTGTAGACCCTCATATATTCCCTTCCACCATCACTTTTCAGGACCCTGACGACTAATACCTCCTTGGAGACAATGCTTTTACTGGAAAAAAAACTCACTATGGGAGAGTGTCCTGCCTGCTCATGTGAATCTCTTCTACATTTATCAGCTGTCGCTCTCGTCTTAGTGCTAAGGGTAGATCATAAAAATGATAGAGTCCCATAGAAGTCCCATAAAAGAAGATGCATTCATAAAATATAATGTCTGATATAAAGAGGTTGTCTTGTATAAACAGAGTATGACTAGAGAATAAACCAAACTGCCACAATGTTTTTTTTTTTTTCAATTATGCTTATCCTACTTCAGTTATTTAGGCAAAATTTTTGTTTTAATCTAATATCCATTATAAAGAAGCATCAAAAAAAAAAAAAAGACATTATTCTCAGGCAGACTAACATCTAGTTTTCTTAAAAGATGTGTTCTTCATCCTTTTTTTGTATTGTATTGTTTTTCGTTTCTCATGTGATCACTGTTGGCTGAAGTGATGCTGATATGTTGAAGTGTCACTTATTTGGAGTTTGCGAGTCCAGACAGAGATCTTCATCTAATCAAAGCCTATATGGAAAAAGGAAGCCTAGGTCCTAACAGCCAGTACCAAGCAAATCCTCCTTGTGGTGCTTCAGAAGGCTTTGGTCTTCACCTTTGCATAGGTTTTCATTCTATTATTTCATTCCTTTTTTTCCCCCGCTCTCCTCCTCCTGAGCAATGGGAACTAAAGTGACACTGATACTCACAGTTGTTGCTTGATGTTCCAGCTGTGAAGCTCACGTTTCTCTCCTTTGAAACTAAAGACTACCCTCATTAAAAACATGTATCTCCCTTACCTTACCAACAAGAAAGCTGAGATTCTATAACGGGACAGAGTCTACAGCCTCAGAGTCCTTTGACACAAAAAAAAATACACACACACGCATACACACACATACACACACATGGAAAGATGCATTAACACATATAACAGTGATCTTTTCGAGCAGATATTCTGGAAAACATAACCAAGCATTAAAGTTCATGCTATATTTGGACCCTTAAAGACCATGGAAAAAATGCAGTGCCGTGACGTCACCACCATCACCCTCCATTGACTGTCCCCCTTGTTTCGGAAATCATCCCATTCCCCGTTCCTGATTCGGTACCTGTGGATCAGCTAACCGTGAGATATCAGGATAAAGATAAAACTTGATGCCTTCTGCAGCTCCAGGCAGGGTCACCCCACGGATGAGCAGAACGAGGAGCATGAGGAATGGGAATGTGGCAGTGATGTACACAACCTGGCAATGCAAAGAAACACTATGTTTAGTCTCTGCTGGTTGACGCTACAACTCCAAAATCAGAAGAGATCTAATGACTGGAATTCAAAGGCCCCTCATACCTAAAAAGGACCCGACCTGAGTTTCTGTTTGTTGGGGGCTATTTTTAGTGTAATGCTCTCTCCCACTTGCAATTGTTCTCCTGGTTCCTGCGCTCAGCCAACACAGCGTGTTGCTTGGGGCCTTGGGAACATTCAGTTTCATTTATCTCCCCTGACCTGCCCCAAAGAAGCCATTATGTCATTCAGGCACAAAATACAGAGGGTTTCATACAACTCGTGACTTTAATTAGAAGTCCTGCCTTGGCCCTACAGGTTCTTCTCACTTGACAAGTACACCTTTGCCAGTGAAGCTGCAGAGATGTCCTCACCAGGGGTGCCAGAAGCATTACCTCACTCTTGATCTCAACCTAAAACCCATAAGGTGGCTTGCAAAGCAACCTGCAAGGCCCCGCAGCCCTTCCCCAGAGAGCACGAGGCCACCACGGACTCGGTTCTGTGGGGGATTTCCTCGCCACAGGGACTCCATTTGTTTTTCTCCAACGGTGCCGCGAGGCTCTGCTGCTAACCCTACATTTGCAGTGAAGCCTCACAAATATCTTATCAGCAACTTCATGTGACACTTGTTAGCCATGAAGATAATTGGGTCTGCGCTTCTTCGCCTCCCTTCCCCTTGCCTTAAAGGCATTAAGCTCTTCAGGTTGGCAGCAGCCTCCACAGTGGTAATTTCCAGTCCATAATTTTATTTTTGCCTTTGCTGCCTATTCAGCAACATCATTACTGAACAACTAAGGATCTATTCATCTACTTTTGAGAATATGTCTTCATTATCTTTAACCTCTATTCCCTCTCTCTGTGAATAACAGTCTACTTCTTTCTCCTGCCTTCTTTTGGTTCAGTTGATGAAAGAGCCCTTTGCTTTAATCTCGAGTGTGGGGGGTAATTTAGGCTGGCTTTGGACAGTTCTATCTTTAGACCCATACTTTTTGACCTCTAACATTTTGTTGTCCTTGCTCATCAGAGCTTTTTCTCATTTTTTATATAATCGCTGTGTTATAGTCAGGAATAACTACTGTCCAAGAAAGGTTTTTTTTTTCTCATGGAGTCAGATGATCCCCTCAGGTAATTACAGTTTGCTGCCTTGAGTTAAAATATATTTTTGTTTTTCAGAATTTGTTTAACTACAGCAAAGCTCCCAGGATGCATCATTTTTCTTTTTAAGTGTGTCCTCTGAGAATAACCAGGAGAACTCAAAGCCTGCACTGCCATAATAATTCATGGAGCCAAACTGATTTCATAAAATGAAAAGAAAGCTTTTCATAAAGATCTTTTTCAATTCTCTTCCTGGGGTTTTTGTATATTTGCCATTGACAAATAGTACATATTATACATTAGCCCAGTTTTATCAAAAACCAAAGGATAAAAGGGGAAATTCTATGCTTTATAATCTTTTTTTTTTTTTAACATATAATCCCAGCCTATGAAAAATAAAAGTTTTCTTACAAGAAGGATATGCTTGCATGTATTCATAGCATCTGGGTAAATTCCACCTACAAAATGGACTTTGCCCTGCAGGGAAAAATTCTCTGGAGGAGATTTTCAGATCAAGTACATTATCCAAAAAATAAGCACAACTATTTTTTTTGTTCATTGCTTTGGGTTTATTTCCCCAATACGCTACTGCAAGATGCAAGAACTATGTCTCCTGTTCTCTCTTTTTTTTTTTTCCTGCTCTGTAAAGAGTTATTAGCACGCTGGAAAGCAGGGAAGTGATATAAACAATGATCTACTAAAGTAAACCAGACTTTGCAAATAATTCAAGTCCTCCATTAGAGTTTACAGTTTACTTTTGTATGACCCCAAAGTTAATGGAGTCAACCAGAGACTTTCCAGTGGTTTCACTGGGCGGCTCCATCCTCTAATGATCCCAGATACACTGGAAAGCAGGCTGTGAATTTCTATTTACATTGCCTAAATACAGTTTTGCCAGGTTTCTAGAAGATAAAAATTGTTAGATAACAGATTCTAATTCATTTTGTCGTGTTCACAGGAGCCTGAAATAACATACCATATGGAATCTGGGGAATCTCTTGGAACTACCTTAACTTTGTCAGGCAGACCCCATGCTCACAAAGTGTACTGCTGAAACAGGCATTTCCATTCCGCTGTGTGGGAGATTTAGGGTGTTCTCCTTCACTATAAAACTTACACGATCTCCTCAATGGGTCACCTCAATCAGTAGTAACACAGAACGCAAACATTTTTGTCAGCGTGTATACTTAAAGGTGTGGAAACTGTTCTCCAGGGCAAAACCCAGCAGGAATACAGAATAAAGCACCAGCCTGATTTTAATGAGGCTCCATGAGAAAGCCAMAAAAAAAAAAAAGGCAAGGCAGAAATGACAGTGAAAAAAAATAATTTAGGAAAGCTAATGAGATATGGTTTCCTATGGAGTTGTGTCTCCTGGTTGATTTCCCAGGTTCTAGCAAGGTATGAGTGCAAAATGATGCTTTTTATTTGCAGCTGAGGCAGTCACAGTTTCTCTTGCAGGCTCTCTGGGATGCAGTAAGGGTTCACCCTGTGGCCTTTTATTTCAGTTGGCACACTAAGACGGTTGCTCACTTTTACCTAGTTGACAAGAAATTTGTGGGAACTTAATATCCTGAGATCTGTCTAACGCTGTCAGATTTATCTGAAACATTGACTCAACAGAATTGAAAGACACACAGAAATGCAATGGCTTCAAAGGCCTTGTTTTCTCATGAAACTAGGTCTAAGAATATTAGCATATCCAGCAGGCAGTAATACCATGCTTTATATTGCTAAGTGATTGGCCAAATTTTCTGTAATTTGCTACTGGTTCTGGCATAGAGTGAGGTCAGGCAAGACTTAACTATCACCCTTTAGAGAAAAACATGACTCTACAGAGCATAGGATAAGCATATAGTGAGGATATATAAAGCTACAGAGGCATGCAAGGGTGAAGCCTCTGCTTTACTGCGTTGGGTTTAGTTGGGACACTAGGAGACAGGAATTAATTTTCCTTCTCATTACACTCAGCCCAAAGCTGCATCTCGCGTTTCTGTCAGAGAAAACAGTGAAGCAGAGTCCTGATAAGCAGACTGCAAATGAATTCAGTATTTGGAAAAGACATCCAAATGTCAGTGCAGTTTTTGATGACAATCTCTGCTAAGGAGAGTGCTTGTGAAGGAGTACCCCAGTGTGGTCTGCCAGGTCCACACAGAGCTCTTCTGCAAGCAAGCAGCATTTCAAAAGTGCCATGGAGCCAGCACTATCCATTGCCTGGAGACATCCCTCCCCAAGTTAGCATCCACCCCACTGCACTGAGGGAGAGCTTGGCTGCTATGCCAGCACGGGCAGGATGTGCAGAGCACCACAATTATCACAAGATTATTGGGATGTTCTTCCTCACAGAGGAAAAGAGCTATTCAGAAAGCTGTCTAGCTGCTTGTATCTGCTTCATCATGCCACCCCATTAATGGCTACTTGACTCAAAGGCATTTTATACTTTTGGCACTGTCAATGACTTTCCAAAGCCACTCAAATCCCCCTTTTATTCAGTGCAGAAATATGCATTTTTGCAATGGCATTACCTAGTATTCATGACATCTGCTAACTCTTTTACTGCAATGATTATGAAAAGGGTAAAAGAGCACTTACTTTCCCAGTGGATTTGACTCCTTTCCAAATGCAGAAGAAACATATCACCCAGACAAGGAGGAGACACAGGGCTAGATCCCACTTGATAATACCAATATCTTCAATTCCCGAGGACAAACTCAGTACATTGCGCCTATATATTGAAATGAAAGAAAACAAGAGAGGGATGCAAGAGCTCAATTAGTTCAGATTCTCGTTAGGATCTCTGCAAGTATAAAATTGCATTTATGACAGCAGATGAACTGGTAGATCCCAGCCCTTTGAATGCTTCCTGACTAAGTTAGTGCTGCTTATTATAAGACAAACCTCAACTGAAAACTTCTGGGCTTTCTTTAAAAATAAATGCCAACTTCCCAATCTAAAGGGGCAGTTCCTACAAACATGTAAAAAAATCATCTATAGAGCTTGCGCTCAGGAAGCAATGAATAATTCACTCCCAAAGCATTTGAAATAGGGAGACCCATTAATGCATTTACCTGAGACCTCTTTGATTTTTATTAGAGAACTAAAAGCAGATGGTCATCTCACCTAGAGCATGGCTCAGCAATCCTATCTAGCTTTCTGCAAAGCACCCCAATGGGTTACTAGAAATGCTGCTTTTCAATACCAGGGTAGCAAGTGCATTAGGTGATTATTTGGATTTTCTCCATTCCATGTTATCCTGTCTCACAAAGGCTGAAGACCTCAAGGGACCTGCCTGGACTTTCCAGCAGAGCCTCAGTGTTAAAAATCTATTGTAAGATCTAAACTAATGTATTTTTGCAGCAGAACTACTCAAACTGGATACCCAGAAAATTCAAGCCTGGGGGGAGGAGAATCTGGGCTATATTGATCGCTTTGGGGTTTTGCTGCAAAACCCACCACTACACAGGTTCAGCAAAGCTCTCTTAGCTAACTCCACATCTTTTCTGCACGATGTTGTTATTAATTATAATTTATAGTAAACGCACTGTCACTAACTGTCACTCAGGTAAAGAATGGGAGAACAGGTTGAGGCTGAGTTCGTGGTAAACAAGAATTCTTGAGCCTTATTAATACACTAATGTGCTCTGCTAATGTGGAATATGAAAACGTAACAGGAGCTGTAACTGGCGCTAGAACATAAACAAAAATAAAATGAGGAGAGTTACACAATCCTTGAAGGATATTCCAGCTCGTTAATCAAGCGAATGGAGACAGGCCCTTGGTACCAGCAGAGGCGAAGCACGCTTTAATGTTGACAAAAACTAATCACTCACACGGATGCCGTATGTACCAGGGGCGAAGAGAGGGGGACTATAAAGTGATTTTTCTACCTCTCGGGTTTGCCCCCCAAGACAGAGGCAGCTGCCCCAGCTTGTGTTTAGTTTCTGTGTGGCTCCCTTCAGGATTACATGCCAGGAGCATGTGATGGTCTTTCTTGGGATTTGGACGAATGAAGCCTGCTGATTACCAAATATTTATAAACACTCAGCCAGCATCAGACAATAAGAGTTTTGTTTAATCATAATTAGCCCGTAACACTTATCCCTTATGTATTAATATGTGTGTAAGCCTTTAAGGTTTTGAACTTTAAATAAAATCTTAAGAAATAAAACCTGAAGCATGTGATGCCAAGAGGTAAGTCTCCTGATACAAAGCCAGATTTGCTTAACCCCCTTTTATTGCTGCTCAAGCAAGCATGTGATTTGCCCAGAACATTAGTTCAAATGAAGTGAAATATCAGGCAGGACTGTATGTCCAGCCAGGCTGGGAAGGACAAGTGTTATTCAGCACGAAGAGGTTAATGCCTCAAATGTGGGCAATTATATCCGTGCAGGGCTAGCTTTACAAAACAACACGGGTGAGGAGACTACATAAATCACGCACAATGAAAATGGTGTTGGGTTTCAGAAACCAAATACTCCCAAACCCCTGAATTAAACTGGAATTAATTGTGCCGCAGGGCAGATGGATATCTTTGGTTTAAGACTATTTATTGACCTGTCCTTTTGTTGTCTAAGATGGCAAAGTGGCTAAAAGTGAGTATCTTCTTGAGACTTTTGGAGACATTAAGAATAGTAGTATGGCTGGAGAAAGTTGAGAATACCAAAAGCTTCTGCCTTGTGAAATCTTGCCTTAATTACAACAGTGCTGCATGATCCCTGTTCTTACTTTAAGACACCAGTAGTTGTTTATGTAGAGGGAACAGCTATTTTTAATACTTCTCTAAGCGCCATGTGTTCTCAAGGCAGCTTGCTTTGTTAAGGACAATTTAACTCATGGTGAAACAGTGATCTAAGGACAGAGTGCCTGTGGTAGTAGCTGTATGGAGCCAAACTTCTCCCTGGCCTAATTCCAGGGAAGAGTTTAGTTCATGACGTTTAAAACTGCTCTATGAGGACAAAAGTTAAGGAGGCTGCAAAGGGCAAGGAGAGCTGTCCCCATGAGCATTAATCACCGAGCAACCTTTGCTCCAACAGCACTAAAAAACCAGGGAGCGGACGTACAACTATCGGCATGGGGAAGATGGAGGGAAGGGAATGGCACTGTCAGGACCAGGATTTCTTCTCCAGTCTCAGGCATCTGACTCTCCATACTAGGCTGTCTCTAAAGGAGGATTTGTTCAGTTTGCACAACAATTTTGAGGTCAGAAACTAGATTTCTTTCAGAGGAAATTGCTTGCTCCTCTGCTGCTCCCCCGTCTCTCAGTGAGATTCTCCATCATTCACTTCCATCTCCACCTGCCCTACCTTCTATTACCATCCTGACTTACTAAATCCCTTGTTCCTTTAATCTTCCACAACCTTTTGCTGCAACCGCAACTCTCTAACACAGCGACTGCACAGCAGCACTGCAGACCTGTGCTGCTTCTGGAGGGCTTGAGGAGACCTCCGAGCATCCTACCAAGCCCACCACTGATTTGGATTCAAAGACCTTGGTCCCTCAGTCACTGTGGGAGAATCCAAAGGAGGGGAGAGTGTTAAACTTGCCTTTAAGTTCCCACAAGGTATGCAGCAATACTATTTAACACATCTTTTTCAACTCCCTCCATGTTTACAAGGGAGGAAAGCAATGGGAAAGGATCTGTCATCCCAGTGCTTGTGGCTCAGAGACAGTAATTGCTTGAAGAGCCTGTACTCCGTCAGTCACACCAGCCATCAGTGCACTTCAAAATTTAAGATTATTTCTGTATTTTGTATTTTGCCTCTTGTGTTACAAATTTTAGTACAGTTTGTAAGATTATTTTTTCTAAATCACTCAGGCCAAATATCTTCAACAGGAACATCATTTCTGCTGTGGCTATTGGCTGACATTTATTTATAAAAATAGAGAAGTAGGTACAAGTTGATCATGGAATCATGCTGGATTTTAACCATGCTAAAAAAGCCAAGTTGGGTCAGAACCAAATTCTGCTCTTAACTGGGCCAAGAGAAAAGATGTATTTATTTCCTAAGTTATCTGTAGATGCTTTGGATATAAGTCTCCCTTAAGGTATCTTCCTCTGCTGCTATGTTTTGACACCTCCATCAACACTTGGAGATTTGAGGTCATGCTCCTTCAGAAATCAAGTTACACAATATGGTTTAAAACTTGAGCTATAATAGAGAAATGGGAATAAGAAGCTTGGGCCTGATGAAATCCAGGCATCTGGCAAAAGGGAGAAAAATGATGTAACAAAAAAGACCTGAGAAACTTACAATATGGGACAATATCCAACATCTCTGCCAGTTTTCTCTGAGAGGCCATTGCCTTGCATTTTGGTCAGCCTGATGAGAGATGTGCTATAGCTTCACAAAGGATATTTAAAACGCTAATATTTGGGGAAAAAAGAAGTAGTGACAATCAGAGGGGAGGCAGTTTGTTTCCACTCTAAATCCCTACTACCATGGCTTTTGTAACAGACTTATTCCTATTTTAATGCTTGGTTTAGAGAGTCCCAAGCCAGCAATGAATAAGCTTTTCTTCAAAAATGAAAAAGAAATTGCAGTGAGGTCTTACAGCTCCTTCTGTTCCCTTGGCTGAATACAGTTACACATTTAACACTTTCCTTCACTATTTCCAAGGTTATCAGTCTGTTTCAGTAATGGTGTTAACTGATAGAAAAAATGGTCAAACAATTGACATTCAGAGCATCGTTTTTCCTATCTAAAATTCCCCATGGCCCTTCAGGAAAATCTCAGCCACACGACAGGAGCATCCCAAAAGCACAACAAAACCAGGTGCACTTACTCCCAAAACTCAGTGACAGGAGAAGTGAAGTTAGTGGCATTCAGTGATATCCAGAGCGTTTTGTTCTTCCTGAGAGTGTCTTCCACACAGGTCGGCGTGTTCCACTTCTGGTGACAGTGTGCCCAGGGCAGGACGCTCTGGAACGACTGGAACAGGTAGTAGAGGCCCCAAGCCAGGATGACGATGTAGTACACGTTCAGAAGGGACACAATCACTATGGAAGCATAACCAATTCCTGTCGAAAGGGGAGGGAAAAGAAAAAAAAAAGAAATATGCACCTAGATAACAGCCACTTGATAGGACGTCTTGTCATCTCAAGTAGTTGGGGTTCCTCCCACTGTTTCATGGACTTGTGTCTTGCTCTACCACACTGTTGCTTGAAAGTGAACCCTGTTCTACCAGCCACATACCCAAAGCACAAACCTGCCACCATCTCTGACCAGTACTGGCACTTTGGGCTGAATTTCCAAGCTATGGTCTACTGAGATTGGAGGGGAGGTCTGCCAGAGACATACCCAGTCTAACTCCATCCAGGTATTTACATCTTAATTGGAAGGAGGTCAAGACATCACGCTTTGTTTATTTGAGAGCTGCTCCATCTCACATCTTGGGTCTAAATGGGCAATGCCATCTTTGCAGCCCCAAGGCAGTTTCCTTGGAGGCAGCTCAGCTGCTCAGTCCACATGTCACTCGGTCTTAGCGACTGGCTCGGCTCAGCCTAAGTGCAAAACAGGCCAACTCTTGAACGACTTCAAAAGGAAAATTCCAGAGCTATCAACATGAAAGTTTCTGCCCCAATTTCACTTGTGCAAAAGCAGCATAATATTTGTAGCTGTTATGGTTAATTAGATCAATGTTTAACTCTGCTATCAATATTTGATGATAAAAAATGTTCCCTGTTTGTTTTTAAAAGCAGGGTCACGGGCAGATAAGGCCAAGCCCCATACAATTTCGGGAGCTGGTGGAATGCTGCTCCAGAGAAGGCTTTCACTGAATGCCAAAGTATTCTTCTGAGTCTGGTATCTCGAACCTATCCAGTTTAGCTCCATTAGTAGAGTCAAACTATGTGTTAAGTCACAGGTAGCTACTGTTTTTTAAATACAGAGTGGAAGGGCTCCAAGAAGTCCAGTTTTCTGAAAATCTTTTAGTATCTAGAATGAGAAACTCTAAAAAAGCTTATGAGGTTTGCCATTTAGTGGCAATAGTGAGGGGGAAAAAAAAGAGATTTCCTTTAAGAAGAGATAACAGTCTCTCACAAGAGGAAGACAAGCCTATTAGTTTCCCTTCACTCTGATGGCTGTTGCAGCACCTGGAATATCTGCTTCATATTTCTGTTTCAAATAGTATTATACCACGGATCTTTACTACCAGGGATGATATTTGCATTGCTGGAGCAAACTCTATTTATTCCACACAGCTACATTTCAGTCAGGTTATACAGCTAGCCACATTATGAGAACAACGGTTTTTCTTTTCATGGATGCTTGGAAGATTGTTATTTAAACAAAGGACATTCTTTTCTCCTCCTCCTCAAAAGAAAGTTTCATGGAGGTAAAAGGAGAAAAGAAATTCAGCCACAGCTGCATGATTAAACCAACCTCTGGAAGTTCTGAGTATCAGGTGGGAGTGTGAGCCACCAAGAAACCCTGCCTGGAGTGACATGAGGCAAGAGATGCCCCCAATGGCACTTAGCTGTCAGCCTGGAGAGGGTAACCTACATACAAGATGGGCATCTTCAGTAACTTTGCTAACCTAGCTTTGATTTTTTCATTCTAGCTAACTTCCAAAGCAGTGTTCATTTAATTCTGGCGAGTTACAAGTGATTCTCCATTTGCTGGCAAAGGCCCTTTAGCCATAGGAAACAATCCCAACTGCTTGCCAGGGTTTGTTCAGGTATGATGAATGTCCCGTTCCCAAACCCTACCACAAACTGCTCGCCAGGTTTGGCTGCAGCAGCAGGATTATGCCAGTGATAAGCATTTACAAGGCAGGAGTTTCATATCCAGACCAGAATAATATTTTGGAGATTTTTCCACAGAAGGCCACGTCCAGGACTCTGCTCTGCCAGCCTTCCAAAACAAGCCCGGCTTCTTCCCTGGCACCCTTGAACACAATTCACAATTGCCTTTTTAAGAAGTAATATGCAATTTCTTTCCTGCTTATTGGCCCTTCTGCCAGTTAACAAGCTGATAGCATCAAATCGATACCTTTCTTTGTCCTTCAGACTCTCAGACTTCCACCTTTCCAGGAACCAATATCATCCTCTCAATTACTGCCGCAAACAGCTGAATTAATGGACGTGAGGGGAATAGCATTGCTGTGTCTGGGTTACAGAGGTGTCTTTAAGCAATAAGGCACAACAAGATGTACTAACCAGTGAAAATAGGGCAGATCTTTTCCCAGCATGTAATTCCACCTTCGGAGGTATACTGTCCTAGCACCACCTCCAGGAAAAACACGGGAAGACCTCCCCCAAACAGGAAAATGAAATAAGGTATAAGAAATGCACCTGTGGAGAAAAATAGGGTGGTACAAAATTGAGGTGAAGCATGTGGATCTATGCAAGATATTCTAAAACATATTAACAGGCACAGATAGGCAAAGGAACACATATACGTGTATGCAATTATCTCTGCAGGGGAGGATTTTTGCTTATACTCAAGCTCTGCAAGGGGAACAGGTAGATAAAGCTAGAAAGGATTTTCAGAAACTGGAAAGGATTTTCATACCTTTTTGAAAGTAGAAACCTGCAATATCAATGGAGTTAGACACACAACAATCTCACCTAACGAGGAATGCTTTTATTCTGAAATCCAACAGAAACAGTACTTGATATTTTGTTATTACCATACAATAGTGCCCTTAACTCAAGTTACTCTGGATTTGCAGTGCATGACTCCGACCACAGAACTATAATAATATATCTTACAGTTAAAACAGATTTAGCTGTAGCAGAAGCAAAAGAGAATAAAAGGTTCAGTAATATTCAAATTCCTGTTGTTTCTCCATAATTGAGTCTTAACATAAACCATTAAGTAATAAAACCGTGTCTCCTAAATATTGTCACAAAAAAAAAAGAAAAAAAAAAAAGACGAGAGAGAGAAAAAACAGATGTCTGATTATCATGTTTTCTAAGTGGACAAAGGCAGCTAGAAGCAACAAGCACGAGAGGCAGCCTGCCTGCCTCGTGCCAAGGAAATGAAGCCATACTTACCTCCGCCGTTCTTGTAGCAGAGATACGGGAACCGCCAGACGTTGCCCAAACCAATAAATCCACCAGCCACAGAGAGCAGAAAGTCAATCTTACTCGCCCACTTCTCCCGCTGGGGCGGCTTCCCCTCTGCCTCATCCTCGGGCCGAGTGCCCGGGCTCTTGCCGGGGGAAGGTTTGAGGATGTCCTTGTGGAAGTCTTTCAAGCACTGCAGCTTCTCCTTCGTTGCCATATTTCTGCTCTCTATAAAGGGAAAAGAAACAAAAATGCCTGGGTTTATTAAGCAGTCTTTACCAGTACAGCTCCCTAACACCGAACTGCTCAGCCATTCATACATTGCCATTTGGCAAGCCACGATATGAACATATATAAATATATATAGGCTGCCTATACTATCAGGAGAGACAAACCTTCCCTGCGACCGCAGCGGACAGGGCAGCGTAGGGGAGAGCAAAGATGTGACCGCTGGCTGCCGGCAAGAGGTCCTTTAGACTGTGTCTCGCATCAGTGACTGGTGTCACGGAGCCTTGACTCCCTAACAGGCTCTCTCTGCTACACGGGCAAACGTCTCAGGCTGTTTCCCTGCCCCTAACAAGGTGCAAATCACTGCATCTTGACTCCTTCGCCAAAGTTTAAAAGTACAACACGTCAGAGCAGTAAATCTCACCTTCTTTCCTGATAAAACCCACTCCTCTGCTTCCCAATGAACCATCCCTGATTCATTTATTGCCTGCAATTTTCTTTCCCTGCAGTATTATAAAGCTTTCAGAAAACTATACACTCATAACTGGAAAGTCATTTGTCCTAATCAACTTGCAGAAACTGAAGGAATCTTTTCAGTTGATTCCATTTCCATAACTACATTGCTTTCCCTTGACATCAATAAAGGGACAAAAATAAACCTTTATATTCAATTATTGTCTTATTCACCCCAATGCAACTGCAGTTTCCAAGAAGAATTGTTCCTTAGTTAATTAAAAATTCAGTACCAGGAGTCACCTGATGCAAACCAAAAGCAAATTAAACCACACTTGCCTAGCTAAATTTATAAGGCGCAAAAGTCACAGATTGTGTAAAAATAAGACCGAATTGAGTTACTCTATTTAACAAGTGTCCTTTTACCTAGGATTTCCTAACGAAAACAAACGAGGAACAACTTGCATTTTTTACTGTTAACCAAAACTCAGGCATATAAGGCAAATCCATTCCCTGCATAACTCAAGTGAGTGTAGCTGGATCTGACCAGTTACTTCCACATGGTGTTTTGATGCTGAAAAGCATGCAGAATTTTCACCAGAACTAAACAAACCAGCAGGACCACAACCATTCCCTACTTGTACATGTTACTGTGCGTGCGTAGTCATAAAATGAAATCATGCTTCAGATTATCCACTTGATAGCTGCAAGCCTCCTACCTGCTTGATTTCTAACCTGATTTAGCTGCGGTGGTGACCTGAAACCTGAGTTGACATTAGCTCTGCAGGAAGTTTTTAATTCAAACATGCTTCTGAGATAGATACCCATCACTGTGTCGTAAATCTTTCCATCCACTGTGGAAAGATTCAGAAGGTTAAAATTTTGGCAAATTCCACGCTCGACTCAGTGACACGTTGCTGGCCTTTGCAAAGCAGCTATTGCAAGAATTGCCTACCAGGCTATGATCTGAATAGGAACTTTAACCTGCACAGTGCTCACAGGATGACTTGCTGTTTTTTAAAACCTGTCAATGCGTGGAGGTGATGTGAATAGCTGCAATACCTTGGAGTCAACAGCAGAGAGAGCTCATAGAAGGAGAAAGCTGGAAATAGGGTGGTGGATGATCATTATCCCTTATAGAGGTATGGGAGAAGGACAGGTGCCCTCCTCTAAAATATCTCCTACTGGCTGCTGTTAGAGAGGTGGAAGGAGATAAACTAATGTAGTGATTGAATAACTATGGCAAGGCCAGATCTAAAATAGACCTTTGTTGCGGCAGAGAATTAATTCACAATAAGGAAATCAAGTTCCTAATAAGGTGCCTGGAGATAGAGGGAGGTGCTTTGGAGAGGGATCCGCAGAAGCCTCAATCTTTTTGGGGCATTAGCATCTCATTGCAGGTCCCTCAAACAGGTACTGGCCTCCATTGTCCCCTGGAATCATTTCTTGGGAGGGGAAAGAATTAAAAAAAAAGACATAAAAATGAAAAGAAAAGCAGATGTAATCCTTTTTTTTCCCCCCCCAAAACCCGCAAGCTGACCAGTGTCCTCACTGCATCAGCAATGTGGGACGTAGAAAGCTTAATTTCAATTTCCTTGGCTATTTGTGCCACTTGTGTCCTCTATCTCGCAGGAGCGTGTCACCCACATCAGGCAACAGGCATGGAGAGCATTCACCTTGTCTCTTTTGGACACTGCTCTTCACAAAGGTTACGGAAACACTTGTCAGAAGATGGAGAACGGATGGGCGAAAAAGGGCAGAACTCATGTCTAGCAGGTAGGGCACTCTTCCATTTTTCAGGTCATTTTTTGGTGGACTCCAGGGACTGCTGCAAACCTGCTTAATAGGGCACAGAGATATATAAATCTATAGATCCCCATAGGATTAAGGTCTGAAATAGGAGCTTAACTACTCCCTGTGATGACTGATACTGGAAATACCTAGAACAAAAAGAACATTGGGCACCCAGGGAACCTTTATGCCAAAGACTGAGGGGACCTACAGACATCAGCACCTCCAAGGTGAAGTGATTCAGGATTGTTGTTTTTAGGCATTTATTTCTATCTTGCAATAGGGGTATACAGGATATATATATACACACACATATATATATAGACACACACTTTTTCCAGCTCACATCTCACTCTAATCTTCTTGGCTGAGGATTTACTTTGACCTAGGTGTTACTCTGTTCTACCCAGATCTGCAAGCCCGGCCCGTTTACTGCACTCGGCAAATCCTGCCTCTCCTGGGGCCGAGCTGATCGCCCTGCGGTTTGTCCTAATTACATGCACACACAGTGCTAAACGGTGCCTTTTCAGCTCCCAACTTTGCAGCTGCGTGGGGCTGCACTTTAAAAAAGAGAATTCTAATTCAGCCAAAGCCCCCCAAATCCATTAATTACCCAAGGTAATTCCTGTCGCAACCTCAGCTGGAGTGTGAAGCTGGATCTCCATCTCCCCCCTCAGCCTGCAAATGGCTCTCAAGGCCACACTCGCTCTTGAAGTGCGAGGAGAGGGATCACCACGATTTTGTGGCAAGTCACCAGCTGTAGCAAGGTCCAGCACCTACCCGATGCCTGGGCACAACTGGCAGTCCCTTTCCACCGTGCATTTCCTATGTAGCCTTGCTAAACCCTCGGTCGTGTTTGGAGGGCCGGCAGCTGTGGCTGGCAGGCACGTACGGTCGGCCAGCACCATAGGAATTGACGCTAAGTGGCCACCTGGGACTGCGCTCCTAGCCCATGTCACGTTCAAGGGATGTAGGACTTCTCCCCCTTTGCTGCCAACCATTGGTGTCCTCCCAGCCATTCCCAATTACAGGAACTGCCTACAAAGGCAGCGAGGGTGGGGGGTACGGGCGATTCTCCTGGGTGAAGAAAAGCCAAGAAAATCAAGTTTGTTTAGTAAAAGGCATTGTCTTTTTCCTTAATGGGGCTGGAGTTTCATTTCCTTCAGTTATGTCCCACTGGGTGAGGTTAAAATGGCTCTTAAGGGAAATAGTCTGACAGAGATGCTGAAACAATATGTTGTTGCCGCCCAGGTCAGAACCAGAGAAGAATAGGTTATTTTTACTGTATCACTTAGTGGGGATGGTATCCGAGATCTAAGTCCATCTCATTCCCCTGAGGAAAAATACAGTACGAAAATGCTCTTACACCCGCCTAGGCCAAAGCGATCCGAGCTGCTTCCCCAGGACGGGCATCTGCTTCCAGCAGACACGTCCCCACTCCGGGAAGCTCTGGGTGGCTCTGGGAAGCTCTGGTTGGATCTGCGGAACTTAATACAGGATCTACAGAGAGCAGCAGCCTGGCCTGCCACAGACAGCATTGAGCAGCCACGTGGGACCTGGTGAGACCCTGATGTGAATGTACGGGGAGAAGGGACCCGGAGTGAACCAGGGCTGCGGTCGGCTCTCACGTAGGCTGCTACCATCCCTAATTAACGGAGGCCAAAGCTATCGATTGGCAAATCAATGCCAGCAAAATGTGGAAAAAAGGTAACAGGGGAGCAAACACGGTCCCTTTGCGCTGCCCCAGTGTGGCCTCCTCCTTCCCCCCTACAGTCAATAGCTCCTTTATTCCCACAGAAGAATCCCGCGTCTGTCCTGCTGCCACCTGTCAGTCAGGTGCACCAAATCCCTCCGGAGAAATATCCCCCTGCAAGGAGCCCAGTGCTTTTGCTGCTCCCCCGTGACTGATTAGCTGAAAACGCCAAAAAAGATTAGCTGTAAATAGTGCGTTCTGCAGCTAGTCCTGGGCAACCAACCCTCCTGTGCTACAGTTGTTGGATCTTTGCACGTCCTGCCTGCACCTTGGGTAGGAAGGTGCAACTCTTCCCATTGGAAAATATTGGCATTGAGGAGCAAGCCATAACATGCAAAAATTGAGGGATAAGGGAAGGGAGAGGCCAAGGGATCACACGAGGACAGATGGAGATGGGGGAAGGCCCTGGGGGCAGCCGGGAGCTGCTGGCTGTCTGAACACATGTACAGCTCACATTACAGCTCAACCACGGTGCGTTGTGGCAGACAACCCATGGATTATGCATCTGAAAATACAGTTTGACTTCTCTTCTGGCATGACAGCAATGACAGGCACTGTGCCTCTGACCGCGCAGCGAGGGGATCAATGTGGAGCAACACCTTCCAACTGCAGCCCCAAACACACATCCGTCATGTCCTCCTTTAGCTCCCTTGAAATTTCTTAAAAATCAAGTCCTCAAAACAGAGGTGTACAAAGCCCTGATGGATATACAGGAACAAAAGCTTCCTCTGCACACACATATGCTTTGGTAAATATTTGTGCATGCTAAAAAGCAAGTCCAAGCCTGCACCTGAAGATATGAACCACAGCAAAGGAGCAACTTCTTGTTTGGTCAACACGGGGTCGCATAAACACTGAACAGAAATTCAATGTTCTGAATTTATGACTAGAATGATAATTGAGAAATTATTTTATAGCCTCTTTTTCCACTAAAAATACAAAAAGAGAAGTTCAGAGAGTCTATAGCTTTTGTGGGAATGCCTGAGGAATGGCTGCAAGTCTG